CTCTCTCTCTCTCTCTCTCTCTCTCTCTCTCTCTCTCTCTCTCCCTCTTCAACTCCCTCTCCCTCAGTTTAACAAAATTTAGGCGAGCAAGTGTGATACACTATATTAGCACTATCCTTTACTGAAGAAGTTCATCTACTTACAGGCAACGGTAAAGCAGAATCAAGTGGGTTAACAGAAGTAGTTCTTGTTGAAGGCCCCACAGTCTCCTTAGCTAGAATAAAAACATTTTAAAACCATAATTGAGTTAGGGGGAAAAAGTCAGCAAAACAAGCTTTTGAACAGCTGCCGTTTAAATGCATCTTGGAAATAAAGTTTCACCACTTTGATGTACAAAGCTCATATGACTAAACTCTCATTTCCAGTTTAGAAAGAAATCCTAAAAGTGCCAGGGTCTCAAGTACAGCTACACCATGAATATATGCTGAGTGGAACAAACAGGCATTCATCATGAATGAACATGCATTACTAAACTGCTCTGGTACACGTTGTATGTGATGAATTTAAAATGGCCATTTTAGGTACATGGTAATGATTAGAACTTATTGAAAACACTTAACAACTTTAATCAACATATACCAAGAACATACCGGCACCAATATTTAAGTTTTCATGGAGCAGTATCCAATAGACCCTGCTCATGAATGGACAGCGGTGGATACTGCCCAGAGTACTTCTATGCCAGAGATCGTGACACTTAGCAAGAAAGAAGGATTAACATACTAAAAGCATCATGTCATGTGATCCCCAAGAATGGTATCTACATCTGTAGTCCTTAGTGCTAATCTCCAACACAGAGAATGTGTTCAGATCATGGTGCAACTTAGTAAACTCAGAATGGAACAGGCCTTTTGCCTGTGCATTCAGCCCATTTGCTCAAACTGGTAACCATAGTTTCCAAAGCTTGACAATACAGGAAAATGTAGTTAACTGAAGAGCTCTGGTTTGTTTGCTGAACTGAACAGAAGGGCTGCATGGACACAGGCAAAAACCTATTTCACATCTTCAGCTTATTAAGCTGTGATATGACTATCTGTTTCGGATTCTGTGCAAGAATGAGAAGTCTACGGTCACAATGAAAAGACAGAAAGACTGACTGGCAGGCAGGCAGGCAGGCAGGGCTCAAAATACAGTATGTGAAACATTTCAAACCTTCAGGATTTGAACTGACTGTTGTTAATGATGCTTCATCTTTTACAACTGCCCCATTTGTACTTGATGACTCAGTTTTAACAGCCTGCTGGGTTCCTGCATTTTGCGTGGTGGAGACAATACTGGATGCAGAAGTGTCAAGTTTTGAAGTTCTTGTATCGAAGTCGAGTAAGTCATTTACATTTGCTGAGATTTGTGGACCTAAAAACAGGGGAAGGAAAAATCACACCACATATCAGAAGAACGCCCTTGAGCACAGTGACGTCTACAAGGGATAGCAATGAATTGTGGCTCCCTTTTCTCTTTCAGATCACAGCCTGATCTACATGAGCAGCAGACTGAGGTGGCAGCATGGACTAGATCACCTCAGGAGGCAACTGATGCCTTTTTAGATACCAACTCAATCTGAAATCTTTTTAAAAACAGTAACAACCTCCCAAAGAGTCATAGAGTAAAAAGACAGTGACTACTTCTACCCTATTCCTATGATGTTAGTTATTCAGTTGGAAAGAGGTTTTGTGTTTCTACAATGCAGGGGAACATTTGAAAGAATGCGGTCCCTGCAGCTGCAGCTTCAAGGGGTACAATCCATTCTACCACCTCAGTCTACTGCAACTACTGACCAGGCCTTCTATAAGGACTTGTCCATGTATAACAGGAACAAGGGGAAGGAGAATGAATTCTGCTCAAGACAAGGTAAGCCAGCTCTACTAGGTCATCATGTCACAGCAACTGTTCCCAGCCAGGTATTTATAAGACAGGTAAGTTCCAGTCAAGTTCTTTGATACTCTCTCATTTTGTCTAACCAAAGAACTCTAAAGAGAAACCTTATTTTGAACCTACAGCCCTGTGATGGAAATGTCCCCCATTTCCCTGGCTGATGGGCTATTTTACTCCTCATAGCTATTGAAAACCCATCGGCCAAAGAGCCATCTCACTTTGTGTCAATAGTGTTTTCACTCAGCTCAGACTTGGTTTACATTCATTGACTAATCAGAAAGCACAAGCACTTGCTCTTGCCCTATATATACCTGCGAGTGCATCTCACAGTCATGTTTCCATTTGCATCTGAGACATGCATTCTTCTTACCTAAAGTGCTAGCAGGCAAACATGCAGGGGCATTGGACTCTTTGGAAATGGAATGGTTTTTCTTTGTATTCTCAAGTTCCTTTGATTTAGTCTCTGAAATGGAAATTTGCACCTAGACAGTAGGAAAATGCAAGTATTAGTTTGCAATTATGGTTTTCCATCTTGCTTTCAGCATTACGGCCTCAGCCATTCAAGACACAGCCAAAAGACGTCCTTTCCAGAGCAGACAACAGCAACAGTTAAGGTGCCATTCCTCATTTCAATTTATTTCTGACCACTTTACTCCCTCTGTATCTCACACAGCAGCTAAGATACATAAGGGGAAAGCACTACCAAAGCCCTGTTGCTGTCCAAAGTAAGGAGGAAGGCCTTTTCATTGACACTGCAAAACAATAAATCCATGACTGGGGTCAGCGCTCTTCCACTTTGGCCAATGCCCACATGGAATCTAAGGCTCACGTTACTGCATTCTCCCACATGCTGCATTTGTGGGGTGAATTTGCTTGTTCAGGTGCATGAGGCAAAAAGGCAGAGCTACAGCAGGGATAGAGAATCTGCAGCCCTAAAGAGGCTTTGGATTCCAACACCCATCAGCTATAGCTAGCATGGCTAGTGGTCAGGGATGACAGGGGCTAGAGGTCAGAGACTTATTGGTTCCCCAACCATTATGCAACCCAGAGGGAGAGAGTGAGTTTGCACCACCTCTGTGCTTGTTCCCTGCAGCATCTTCCCTCCATCCTTCTACCTTCATGTTAGGAAAACCAGTTGCCTTTGGGATAAAGCAGTCATGCTGCAGGGGACTGAAATCACTGATTGGCTTTGAAGATGGGAGTTCTTTCTTTCTTTTGCCTGCTCTGTCATGCAAGTGTAGGGAAACTGCCATGATTCAGCCTGGTCACTGGCTAGGTCTTAACTAGATGGCAGCAGCAGGGACAGTGCAGCAAGGTAGAAAAGCACAGGGTAGACTGATGAGCATCTCAAGAAGCCAAACGAAGGAGAGCAGGAATTCCCAAAGTAACCTCTCAAGGTTCTCCGGCCATGGAGGAAGTGGAATGTGGAAAACCTTTGTGGCCTAGCAGCTTCACTAGTACCCAAGGCTTGATCAGCTGGGGCGGGAGCCAGGTCCTGCATCCTCCTTGGCCAGGTCCGTCTTGACACATCTTAAGATGTTAGCAAGGAAAAGTGACCAATATGCTGAGCACAAGCTGAAGCTTTCACCCAGGGTGAGTTCTCTCACACTTGGGTGATAACAGGGACTTTCTCCATGTCTCAGCTCAGCACTAGTTAATCTTTACTAATTATGATAAAGTAGACATGTAAGGACTCTTCTTTAATAAACAGTCATGACTTAGTTTACCCAGTGTTAGCGTCTTATATCAGTATTCTTGGATGTACTTGAAAAAATATTACCTGCTGACCAAAATCTTAGAAGAACTAACTTGTAATAAGTAATGTTTGTTAGCTGATAATCACACAGAGCACTTTGAATATTTTATTCCTTCTGTATAAATAATTACAAAAATCATATTAATCCTGAGAGCTTGTATAACAGAGCATACAAAAGCTTTTAATAAACAAACAAACAAACATCTTTCTTAACCACTTACATTGTTTGGGACTTTACTTGGAGTTTGGCTTTGAAGATCTAGCTTGATTCCTGGAGGAAGGATGATATTCATTAATTGTAGGTTTTGCTGCGAGAAGAACCATCTTTCATGTCAATGTAAACACAATTAACAATAGAAGTTCACACAGAGCATTTAGATACTCTGATATCTATTATGCCTTTTAGATGTCACACAAAATTAGTTTCTTTCCATATTGCTATCAGAAAGACACGAGACACAAGTCTACTGAAAACGGCCCAATTTCTCAAGACAACAATATATTGAAAAATAAAATATATTGTAAGTAATGGAGAGGTTCCACACCTATTTCAAACTGGATGATCAGCTTATCTTGGGTCAGGCACATTTACATCCCAGAGTCAATTATATACTAGACAACAACAGCACCTATTGAACAAGTAGGATTCAAACAGGATTCAGTGAAGCCAAGAACTAAAGCACAACAATATTGTGATGACATTTTCATAATGAGCTTGTTCAGGAGACTAGTATTTTCATCTCAAGGTTTGCCCTCACCCAACTTTTCCTAGCATACTTCTTCATGTGCATTAGAGTTAGTAAAGGTGCAATTGTAACAATTCAGAGTTTACTAATACTTTAGGAAAGGGAATCCAAAATCTGGAATTCTAGGAGGAATAAAAGATTGGTTGTGTGAAATGTAGGTCTAGTTATGGTGACATAATGAAATGAAAACTTTGGGTGCTTTTCAATAGCAGTCCTACATAAAATGTGTGAGAATCATTGAATCAAGAGGTTAGTAAAGCTTGAACAATGAGGCCTGATCAGTCTTTTTAGAAGGGTGTAAACTGTTGTACCACCCAAAGCTGAGAAAAAAACATTCCACATCACCTGGGCATCTGACAGTAGTGATGGATCAAGGAGACCACACAACCTGTGAATCTGCACTTAACAAAAGAACACAACTCTATCCATCACAGACTGGACACTTAAATGTGGATTAATTGCTACCCCATCAATAGTACTTCTATTTTATTTGGATTAAGTGATGTATTTCCATATTCTGGTTAAAAAGTTCACAGGCAAAAAAGGGAGGAGAGAAAGAGAATGGAATGGCTAATAGGGACAGAACTGATTATGAAAGTACTCTTTTTGCCCTTGTGAAAGACAGTGTAAATTGAGTTTCAAAGCCATTTTCCAAAGAAAACAAGCAAATGCTTACAAAAGTTCTTAAGTGTGTTAACTGTGGTCCCCTCTCAAGGTTTACTTGGCTATTGCTCAAAACTGGTAGGGTTAGGCTATAAATGCAATACTTTATTGAATTTTTCCTTGAATCCTTGTGATCTTTCCTTCATTTTTGTGGTGCTGTGGGCTCTTCCCAAACATTCAAAAATAAGCAGATTTAACACTGCTGTTCACCACAGAAGTGTCCAAGGAATATGCAGTTTCTTGCTCAGCTAGCATGAAATGAAACTAAGCAAGGGTGACATGGTGGTTAGTCATTTTTTCCCAGTTGTACTGTCCTTAGAATCTGATTTCATGGGGAAAGTTCTGCTCTCAGTGTGCTTGCAGGACTTTAAGAAAAGTGACTTTACTTTCTCATTGCCTTCAATTTAACATTCTCTCTCTCTCTCTCTCTAGAGTGGAGTGTGAGAGAGGGAGAGGGAGAGGGAGAGGGAGAGGGAGAGAGAACGAACATTCTAGGAACTAATTTGCCTATCTTCTTAAAACAAAAACATTTTTTTTAAATGTGGCTATCTTACCTTGCACATTTGGTGATGATGCCTCAGGTAGCACAGTACTGGGTACTTCAGCTGGTGCTGGCATATCCAAACTTAACTGAAGAAGATAACCTTCAACTGTAGGAACTTCATCCCATTTCACTTGAAATGAATTAGTAGTAGCTCGGATCAGCTGCACCTGTGATGGTGCTGGGGGTTTCTCTGAAAGGAGAACAGTGAGCTCTATTGGCTTTGTGATTTCCGAACTATTTTTTCTGTAGTTTTTTGCATAAATGATGTATTTGCTCTAAAAAGTCATTAAAAGAAGCAAAAGTACATTCCTGCAACAGTTCTAATGGTTTCTCCAAATTTACACATTACTGCTCCCCCATGCACCCCACAAAAAGAAAAGCACTTGCAGGATTTCATGTGTTGGATTGAAGTGGCTTCCCTGGCCAGCTGACCCAATAATAATAATGAAAGAGGACAACTGCGCAGTGCATAGGAGCCAGATTCTCCAAGCAAGCAAACAGCAATGGTCCACCTGTCATCCAGCCCACGAACAGCCACAGGTTGGCCCACAACATGGTATATTCTGTTCCAGCTGGTCTCTGCAGATCTGGTATCAGGACTGCCAGGGACACCCAGGGCTTCATGATTCACACATTTCCTACACATTTCCTACAATCTCCAGATCCCTGCCCCCAGGCAGAAAACACAGCAGTCTAAGATTTGTACCTGTGTCATCTGGAGCTGCTCTGAGAGTGGCAAGTGATTAAAGGGGGAATGGACTTTGTTTTGCTCCTGAGGTCTGCCTAGATGACTATCCATTTTAACTGCTTATCACTGCTCTGCATAGATATATTCTATGAATGAGACAGGTGACCTAAGGCCCTTCATCTACTTTGGACCACAACTCCCTCAGTCACTGACCACTTGGACATATGGACTGGGGCTTATGGGAGTTGTAGTCCAAATCATGAGGAGGGCAGCAGACCACCTATCCCTTTAGGCTGCTATGTATTACTCTGTACCAGAGCAATTCTTAAAACCAAAATGGATCATCACTAGCTGAAATCAGATAAACTTTTTAATGTATTTTAAAGACAACCTAACTGGACATGGTTTTAAGTTTCATTGGTTTACAAGCAGATCCTTCCGCAAGTCAGTTATGCTTGCCTTTTACTAGATTTATAAAATGTACTTAAGGCACAATCCTGTGCATATTTAAACAGAAAAAAGTCATGCAATTCCTAACTGGCTCAGAACTGTAGGATTTTTTCTGTCGAAGCATGCATAAGATTGCACCCTTACTGTGCGCAAAACCACTTCTTTTCTCCACTAGGTCATGGTAGTGTGCATATTTTCAGTCATGTGAATGAACAAGGTCAAAAACAGATGACATTACAAGACTCAGGAGACTGGAAAATTTGTCTCTGAATCCTCACAGAACCCTTGAGATAAAGGTATGTTTAAATTGGCTACCCGATAACTCAAGAGCTATGCTGTAATAGGCTTTTTAGAGGCCAACATAGCTCAAAACCCATGAAGATACTACTATCCACTGATGTTTAATGTTGGGAGGGAAAACGCTTTTCATCTACACAACTGCCTGATTGTGTTACTTGACTTGTGTGTACACAGCTTCCTCAGAACCTTGTTCAGAGTGCTCTGCTTCACACAATTAAGAACACATATCACTCTCAGAGTCAGTGGAAGGTAATGTTCCTGCTTCTCCAAACTGAGTGCTCCATCCTATGCTCTCCTCTCATCTGGTCAGATGCTTTCCCTCTCTCCCTTCTTTGTTTGTGCAAGCTGTGGTTTGCCTCCAAATCAACGATACAAGGAAATACGTCTCAAATCTAGCAAACTCTGATTTGGTAGAGTTTGACGCCTAGGTTGACCTGATGGGATGTGATAGCAAATAATGATTTGCCAGAAAAAAAGGAAGGATAGAATCAGAGGGGAGAAAGCAGTGCACAAGCCTGTAACATGCTCCCAATCCTTCAAAATATGGGCTGGAATTCTGGGAATGCTGCATCTGAATCAGATGTAAATGGGTAGACCCAGAACAAAAGTGATCCTTACACATTTCAAATGCATAAACATAGAGATTTTTTAAAAAATAAGTGCATACAAGATTTATATACTTCACAGTGGACATCTATAATGTTATCAAAAACATTATGTGCTCGCTCACCAGTATCTAGGTACCAAAGATCTTTACAGCAAACTTGATTGTTCCAAGCTTTTCGGTAGCCATCTCTGCCACTCCATATATACAAGCGAGTGCCCACTATTACGGCACAGTGGCCTGCCCTTGGGCCCGGCAACAAGTTATTTTTGTCTTCTTGGCAATCTGAGATCAGACTGACCCATTCTGCAGTATCTAATAAGTCGAATGCATCAGCAAAATCATTGTTTGAACACATGATGGTTTTCAAAATTTAAAAACATTACCATTACTTAAATTCCACATGATTAAACATAGGTATGATATAAACTTCATGTACAAGTCTCCACACTGAACAGAGATGGTTCAGAATCCACGAATCAGTAAATTCCTTTGAATTTGAAGCATGAATCAGAGATAACCTACTACAAGTCGAGGAACCCATATGGCTTCTCTCTAACTGCATTGTTCATGGATACTGCATAGACAGCTCTGGATCTGGCAGGAGTTAGATGTCCTAGCTAACTGTATGGCAAAATATTGTAGTCACACCCATATATTATAAAACCAAAAGTTCCAAAGTATAGTTACTGATCTAAAATTGGTTGCAACTTCCCAGTATCTCTTTGAAATGTGCTCATTTCTCCCCACTGAAAACCTGAGCATTTAATGGTGCCATCTCATGTTTGGGATCCTCAGAACAAGGAGCTATAGGAGTTGGTCAAAGCTCCTTTACTTGAATGGGGTGTGAAATGTCCACTGCAGTGACAGAGATGCTGGTAAAACACCCCGGAGACATGGGTGCGACACTTGGCACAGTGGCAGGCAGCATACCTCTCCACCCCCACTGATGCCCAAACCTGCAGTGTAACTGGTATACAGGATTGCTCTAAGTTAACAACAAAACTGTAGGCATAACTAACCTAAATTTAAGTAAGAAAATGAGCCGGTACATTTCCATTCTCCATCTTGAGAAGGCAGGTTATTGTCTGTGTTCTGTGGGACCCATCCACCAAAAATGTACATTCTGCAAATATGAGGGAACAGCAGGGGAGGGAAGTTAGGGAAAGAATGTGGGAAAGAGACAAGCAAATTATTTTCTGGGGGTTATTTTGCCATGCTAGTTTTCCAGTAAAGGAAACTGTGTTTCCCTTACTTTTACTAAAACTCGCACTTTCTTCCTTGTTTTCCCCTTCCAACCCTCTCATGCCATATTGCAAGCTGTTTTTGAAGGCGCTCTGGTAACAACCTGCAATATTGGTGAATATTGTTTCCTTGTTAGACCACAACATTATATCTAACATGTAATATTATTACAAATAACAACAACAGTTGCTTTACAGGCTACATTGAAGTCCCTTAATATTTTAAGATTATTTATCTAAATGTCAATGGGTTAATCCTGAAAAGAAAATATCTTATCTTATCCCCACCAAGGGATTTTCTGCCAATTTCATATGCTGAATATTAACAGTTACATAAGCTACAAATAGCTTTCACAAACAAATTAAAAGCACTATAATGGTTGGAGGGAAAGGTTTAATAGACTCTGGTTAGGATAGCTGTGCCTGAGACTTCACACATTTCTTAATGGCTCATTGTGAATGATCTTTCCACATCACTTTTGCTTCAGAAAAAAAATGAGGCAGATGCTGTCCCAGCCCCTGGCCTTGCATGGACTTCCCTGCACTTACTGAAGGAAAGAAAGGGGTTCTCCAAATTGCTCTGGCATTCAGAACTTAGAGCAGCCTCTTGAAATGGAGGAGAAGTTTAAACAGCTGCAAATCTTTCCAGTTTTCTTTCATACTGGCAAAAAGATATGCTGGGTCTATCCATAGTATCCAAGAGGATTGTGTTGTACGACCAGCAGTAGGAAAATCAGATTTCACTGACCAAATGAGAACCCATTTTCCACACAGAATTAAAAAAACTCCATTTACATAGGGCTCCAGTGACAAGCTATCCCAAAATTTAAAAAGTGGTTGCCAACTATCAGAATTATCTGCATTTTGTATAAACACAATCTGAAAATTTTCTCAGGAACAAGGGATAAGTATAGACAGACATTTATTATATTGCCAGTAACTGTTATGAATACTGAATCATATTTGGAAGCTGATCTTTCATAGCAGCCAACCACACAGTAAGACAAGTGAACCAAAGCAACAAAGAATTGTAGAACTTCTCCCACCAGGTGGCATCACAGCAAGTAAACACAAATAAAGAGGTTTCCTGAAGCCATCGATTATGAGGCATTAGAAAGAATCACCATATACATTCCCACAGGACAAAGTTGTTGAGTTAGCGTAGCAAAATGAGATGGGACTGTAATCCACAAGACAAGATACCGGGACTCAGTGAAAGGCATGAGGGCATCAGCTAATCCACCCCTCAGATCCAACCCATCATCTTGAGCCTTAGTGAAGCTTAGAAATCAGCAGGACTTGAGTAAGCCATGACTAAGTTGTCCGCTGATTCCAGTGGATATGCTTTAAGTACGATTAAGTCTGGACACAAACCTATATAAGCATTTCAGGAATTTATAAGGATATGACCTTGCCTAACAGAAGCCCTTGGCTCATCTTCAATTTATCACAGTAATAAGGAAGTTGGAAGCTTGTCCATCCAGTATCTGATGTCTAAATATCAGAATTCATTTCTGATGCATGCATAAGTGGCATACAAATCACACGGTTCAAGCCTACACACACAGGCACTTATGCAAATGTGACATCCAATGTGTGGATGTTTGAGAGATGATGATCAGGTGGACACAGTGGGGAGTGGCAACAAAATCTCCTGCCACAATCCTGATCATAACCCTGCATTGGATCAAAAGTCTGCATAGGACTACATCTGTAACATACAAGGTTTGGTTAGCAGTGATAGCATCTGTAGCAATTAAAGGTACTTATTCAAGTTCTCCTCTACAGTACGCAGCTCTTCTTACACACCTCAAACAAACTGATTTTAGCTATTTTTTTATTTTGGAATCACAAATTATTAGTAATATTGTAGGATTCTCTCTTCTAATTTATTGGCGTACTATACGCAGAAAGTGCTCTAGAATTATTATTTTCTAATGAAGTCACAGATATTAAGATTAATTCAAAGGAAGCCTTGTTCTCAAAGGTAGAATGCTACAGCTCTCAATATTAAGGTTTTGCCTTCCCCCTCCTAATAGATGCCCTACGCTTTCTACTTAATTTTAGAGTGTAATAATTAACTATCTCCAAAGGCAAAGCAGAGGATTCACTGTCTCCAAAGAAAGTGTTTCTAGATATTCACAACATTTAGGCAGTATATTTCAACTTCCTGGAGTCCCACATTTAAGTCCTTTAGTCTGTGAGAGAGCTTTTTAGAAGGCTGAAAGTGTTTGCATTTGACACAGTCAGGTTCCCTAAATACAAGCACTAGAGTAACAGTCTCCTACTAGGTGTACCTTTCTATAGGTGAGCTTTTAACAACAGACATACTTGTTTCCTATTACACTGGCTGTATGGAGACTACGGGGAAGTGGCAGTGTCCCTTTAGTTTCTGGTTTCGACCAAGTCATTGTTTCTATTAAGAAAAAAAACAGAGAAAGAATATAGAAGGAATTATTTCCTTGCACATTTACCAACTCCCCCCCCCCAGCAAACTATTGTTAAGTGTCATTTCTTAGATTTCAGAAAACTGAACATGCATAGATGGGAGGAGCCCTTTGAAATACATATTTGCATATTATAAAACATGTGATACGGGTTGTTTCCAGCAGCGCCATTCAATTTATTGCAAATGACATTGCAGCACTGGAAAGCATTTTCTGAACTATGGAATGCAGCTGAAGCCCCCCTCCCCTTGTACAACTGCTTGCACAAAGGTGTTGCACAGGTGCACACAGATCTTAGCTTTGCAAGGTGAGCCAGTAGCACTTGTGCAAATTTTTGAGCAATGGGAAAAAGGAGCAGAGCTCTGCATAGCACAGCAATCTCTTCTGCCAACAGTATGCTAGGTAAGTATATACAGATAAACATGTCAGTATTTATACCTACTTAATAGAATGTCATCTTAAACACTGAAATTCCTTTCCACTGTTATGTGCTATGGAAGAATACAATCTTTCACAAACTTTTCAGGTCTGAAGAGTGCTGGACTGGGACTCAGGAGATCTGAGTTCCCATCCTCACTCTGCCAAGCAACTCCTGGGGCAGAGTCACAAACTCTCAGTCTGACCTACCTAACAGGATTGTTGCTGTACGGATAAAATGCAGAGGAGAACTTTGTAAGCCACTCTCAAGAGGAAGATAAGTGGAGTATAAATAGAATAATATATTATTCATAGTTATAATAGAGAGCAGCAGATCTTGCTCCAAGGCAGTTTATGGAAGATTACAGTCAAAATGCCCTGTAAATTTGGTACTTGCTCATCTTCTATTGAAATGGATTTTCAGGTATAGGTTCTACTGATTTTCACAGGGTCTCTGCTCATGTAATATAAGGACAGCACATTAACCTAAATATATGCACCATAATCATCTGTCTACAGTTCTGGAGGAATGGCTTATGGTTGTTGATGAGGTAGATTCTAAGGAATGCTGTACTTGGAAAAACATTTTAGAACAAACTAAAATTACCTATAAAGCCCTAAACGGCTTGGGACCAGGATACCTAAAGGAATGCCTCTTTCCTTATATGCCCTCCCACCCCCTAAGATCGGCAGCAGAGGCCCTCCTACGGGAACCCTCTTTGAAATAGGTTAGGAGACAAAGTACTTGGAGGAGGGCCTTCTCTGTGGTGGCGCCCCAACTATGGAATGTGCTCCCTAGAGAGGTCCGCCTGGCACCGTCATTACATGCTTTTCGGCGCCAGGTCAAGACCTTTTTATTTAACCAATATTTCAAAGTTAATTAATTTTAATTGTACATTTATTTATTTAATTCATTTTAACCATGTCATTTTATACTCAGTTGTGGTGTAGCCAATTTATTTATTTGTTTAGGATTGGTTGGAGTTTTAATGTTTGTAAACCACCCAGAGAGCCCTCTGGGCCATTGGGGTGGTACATAAATGCAATAAATAAATAAACAAATAAAAATTAACAAACCCATAACAGCCTCTGCTAAAGCTTGAATCAAGATTATTCTGTTTTAGTGACCCAGGTGAACAAAGACACTGTGCTGTTGTACATGATCAGATAACTACTGAATAGTTATCACAAGCAAAAGACAAACGCACCTTTCTGAATGGTAAGGAGAGTGCCCCCCTGCGCTAATTTTTAAAGTGTACACCTAAAATTAGGCGTGAATGCAGCAAGCATTTTAAAAATGCAGTACCATACACGTACATCTGAGAGAGACCCAGAACTGGTTGCAGCTCTGTGTTTGGAAACACAAGGTGGAAAAGCTGGGTGCTTTGCTCTGCTATGTGTTAAAGAGCGCCCAGGTGATGTGCAGGCTGCATAATGAGCTCTAAGCTTCCACAGGGCAAGAGTGGGCAACCAAGATGGCCATACCCCTTCCCCAAGCCCCATCCCCTTACCCTGACCATTAATTGTTTGGTGGCTTCCTGGCTTTTGTGCAGTTTTTTCCCCAAAGGCTGAAATGTCTCTCCCAGGGCTTAGCCATTAGCAAGAAGAGCTTTAATCTAAAATATGTTGGTATTTTTTGCCCCCAGCACTTTTTATTTTGACCCTGTCCTCTTTGCTCCTACTAACTACTAGAATGCAGCCTTGAGAGCTTTCCCTAAACTGAATTGGTCCATCAGGCTGAAAGAAGTTCCCCACCACTTTCACACAGCAAGAAAATTACAGATCCTTCAGTATTAGCCATTGCTCCATGTGTAAAAAACACAGCAAAACTTCGCCTGCTATATGAGTGCACTCACCTATGTCAAGCTCCCAAAGGTCATTAAGTCGACAGCCAGACATCCCTCCAAAAATAAACATCTTTGGGTTGCCCGAGTCTTTTCTACAGTATATAATGGCTGTGTGAGATTCTCGGGGTGAAGGCAGAACACCTTTGGTCACTGGAATGCTCCAGCCCATGACTCCTGAACCATGCTGTAGCTCCAGTTCATAGAAATCATTTAAATATCTGGTAGATAATTAAGAAATACAAAAAAGGATCATTGGACTTTATATAGAATGACTCTAAGGAAACTTTCCTATCAATATATATACATCTACAACACTGTCTGCTGCCAACAGTATATGCATTTTTGTAAGACCAGTCAGATTTGAGAGATATATCACATTACTTGGGAGTGCTCTTCTCCTGGAGACTTGCCAACTCAGAGCTTATGCACCTCCGTGAAGTTCCAGAAGGCAGGTTCTACGTGGCCAATGCAATAGAAATACCCACCCTTAATGCTTAGGCTAGGACTGGCTATCAGTCCAATTAACTTTCAAAACTAAATGTATACAAATGCAGCAGCTTGAGGTACTAAAGAAAAAGCAATGGTTTTTCAAACTTTGCTAATAAAGACTGGAAGGATTTCTGCAGCATTAAAGTTTTAGTCTATTAGCACAACCTTCCAAAGGCACAACACACCACTTTTCATCATCAATCCTGACAGTATATTGACAAGTGTTACTAAGTATTGACAAATGGTATGAACAGCAAATTTTTGTTAGGTTTCCCCGTCTGGAGTTCGGGGTGACCACATTCTAAGAGCCAGTTGCCAATCATCCCCATCAGTTTGGATGAAGCCAACGCAAAGCAACCTTGCATCATGCAACAGGTACACAATAGATTTTCTACGTCCTATTGCTATCAGCTGTTTAAATACCCAAAGACCCTAGCAAGTTCCAATATCATCAGCATACCTGGGAATGTTATTGTTTGAGTCTTCACTCTCATTTGCCAGTCCACCAAATAAATAGCACTTGTTACCATACAGAGAAAAGCTGTGGCCAAGGCGAGGACAAGGTGGTAAGCCCACTGCCGGGTGCTGAGGTCTCATTTTTTTCCACAGCCATCGACTTGCCTTGAAGACAGAAGAGGAACATGTTCAAAAACCTAGCTGTGTATGAATTATATGAAAGCCACAATCCTATGGATGTTTAGAAAGGGAAAAGGCCTACATCTGCCAAATGCCCCAGACAGCGTGCGAGTGGCAACCTTGTTGGGTGTCTAACTATGCATAGAGTTATGCCCTAAGTGGCTTGGGGGCTAACAGGCCCTTGTGGAAGGGAGTTTTCAGGAGAATCTCCCATTCCCAATGGTCCTCTGAACTTCCCAAAAAGTCTCTAAAAAGGGTCAGGTTCAGAATCAGGAGAAATTGCCCAAAATCAAGCAGAGGCATCTTCCATCAGTGGAATACTTTGCTTTAGGGAGGCAGCATTGAGCCTCTTTCAGCCTGAGGGATGGATTCAGTCTTGGTTAAGTTCTCGTGGACTGTTTTCCCGTCAGGAGCAGGACAAAGGTAAAGGGGGCAGGGCTGAATATGAAAAATACTAGGATATTTTGGCTTAAAGATCTATTTACAGCAGTTACATTTTAGGAGAGAGAATGGGAAAAAACTGTCAACAGAACAGAACACTGCTCAACTATCGGGGAAAAGCGCCTGGGGAAAGGGGCAAGGATGTGACTCCCATGGAAACCCCAGAAGTTCCTAGCCAGGCCAGCTTTGGTCTGTAGTTTGGCACTCCTGCCTGTGTTGAACTGGTAAAGAATACATGGAAGTAAGTCTTACTTATGTTATTCAAATATATTACCATGGAAAAGAGGTTTAGACTACATCCTTTTTGGAACCTTAAAAATGTTGATAATGTAGAATTGCATGCTGTAGAATGTTCCAGCTTGATATTGCCATATTAACCGAAAATGGGAAGGGAGTAGAATAATGTTTTCCAGCTGAAATTTTATCATCAAGTTTATCTACTGCTCCACAAAGGAATCATTTAACATGTCTTGCTAATTTAATTCACATGTTAGTAAAGTCAAATATATACACATTCACCATTAAGTAACTCTAGTCATTATGCATTTTATCGATTTCGCCCGCTGTAAAAAGTACTTTTACACCAATTGGTGCCTCTCTCTTCATATGATCAAAGGTTTTACTTATTTTATTTTCAACAAAACTGTGACTCTCCCCATACATTTGGTAATGGCCACTTCACATGAAGCCCCACAATAGATCCATTCTGCTGGGAGGATACATTTTTAAGCACTGTGTACCCTACTTTTAGTATGCACAATACAGGCACTGGGCTAAAAACATATTAAGATTCTAGGTTATGTTTTTATGATGCTGTATTCAGTTTTTTAAATTTTAAAAATAGCTTTGGCTATTGGGCGGTATAGAAAGGGAATAAATTAAATGTCAGGATTTGTAGCCTATTCACCAAATAAAACACTGCATTCATTTCCTCTTTGCTAAATAAGTAATTGTGAGCAAAACCCATACCTGTAATTCATATAAGTCATTACTATATCTTCCATATTCAACCATTCCTCCAAATACCAGTATTCTGGTACCATCACAGACAAATCCATGGGCGGCACAGCCTGGTGGAATATCTCCTCTAACAGCAGGTAGAAACCATTGATTCGTAGCTGATGAAAACAGAAATAACATTTTAAATGCTGTTGATTCTTGAACAAACCTGGTAACCGGAGAACTAAAGCCTGGCATTTGCATTTCTGAACAAGAAAACAAAACCCACAATAAAATGAATAAGCCTCACTGTTCAACAAGACGAAATTGATATTTCATTAATTTTGATTTTGTGTCTCAAGGCAAAACTGTATGCAAAAAAGGTGTAGGATTTTTCTGTCTAAAGAGACACATGATTACTCTCTGATTAATTAGGGTACAGTCCTGCCAACTGCACCCTCAGTGACTGGAAACTCCTAAATTCAAAAGTGTCCAAGCATCCAACATGGGCTGCTGGAGGCAATCTTCACCTCCATGTCTTCATCCTGCAGACATTGCTGGATGGGCTTTTTTGACACATCTCACAAGGATGCTTCTGAAGGGGATGGAAGAAGGCTAGAGAGGATTCAGGCTAACTCATATCATGGTTCCTCTAGCCTCCCCCTGTTCCCACCCACCAGAATGCACCTTTTCCTCCTCCTCTGAGGTAGTTTTTCTGACTGCAAGGGGACAGCGCAGGAGGAGGAGAATGCTAACTCCCTCTTCTAAAGTCAGAGTGTTATTTTTGACCTTAGAACTGGGAATCTGAACACTCCTATGGTCGCTGGGATGCACAGCCTGGCAGCATAGCAATAGTCTCTTAATTGTCTCCATGTGGTTGACACCTAAAGCCTGAGATCTACCTTTAGGAGCAGGTTTCCCTAACCAGCAATAGTCTTGTGTTCAGGGGTAATGCTGTTACTGAAAATATCCAGGGTTCAGGACCACAGGACACAGAGGGGGAAAGCACAAATTTGCACATACTAATTTATATGAACTTTAAAGTGTGTGTGTGTGCGTGTGCGTGCGTGTCTTTAAAGGACCCTGTTTTCTCAGGATAGCTCTGTTTGTAAAAAGGGCCATATGGAGAAGGAGAGGAGGCCATTGATTTCAGAAAAAAAGCATCAGCCAGAAAGGTTACTGGGGAAGGAGCAGCAGGCGCTGAAGCACACGGGGACAAAAAGCCTGCTAAAGGATCAGATGCAAGAGTGATCAAGGCCCCTGTACCTTTTTTTCCATCAAATGCCCATAGAAAATAGCATGATAGAGCAGATGTCCTCCCAGATACTCAGGACTCCAAATGAAAGTTTTGGGGCTCCAGCCATGGTGGGCCATCGCCTAACATCACCTCTGTTTGTGATCTGTTTGGCCTGACCCCTTCCCCAACCAGACTTTGGGGCAGCCCCCTCCAGACAAAGGAACAGCCAAATCCCTCCCTTAAGAGGCTATAGGGCTGCACAACAGCAGAGGCTGTGCCAGGGACATGACTTAATTCAGATGGAATGGATCCAACATGGGCAGCTGCGTAAATTTGCTTGAAGGTTTTGATGCATTGAACTATGACTTAATTCCCCCACAAAGCATTCCACACTTTCAATATACAAGTTAAAAGAACCTCCATTAGGGAACAAAGATGCAACTGCTCATTAGCATCCAGTCACTCAGTTCATTGTAGAGTTTAAACCATGCACTAGTTTATTTTGAAAATTAAAACATATAAAACAAAAACTTAACAAAGGCTCTGTGCCCTCACCTGTTCCTAGGCAGGCATTTTTCCACAGGCAATCTCCTTTGTGGAAACTCCTGCCCTCTGACTTCTTTAGATACCCAACCCTAGCAGAGACCCCTTTCTGCTCCCTCAACACAAGCACTCATGGCATGCTCACAAATGCTCTCTGAAAAACTAAGCTTGCCCAACACATATTTGTTTCCTGTGCCAACATGTTATCTTCTGCTGCGCTCAGCCTTGCCAAAGAAGATCTGAGGGTTTATCAAACCACACAAAACTGCACCTCTCTCCCAAGCACAGCAGCCATGTAAGACCCTCTTTCCCTTCCTGCCCACCTATCCACTGCCTTCAAAACTGAACACTCTTCATATTACTCATATCTTCACCCTGAATTATCTAGGCCCGCAACATCAGAACATACCCCTCTTCCTTTCAGCAGTCTCAGCTGTAGCCTTATAACCCACACCATGGATAACTTTCTGCCCTACCTGTTTAGTGATCAATAACCAATAATCCACGCAAAATGGTTTGGCCCCCTACTCACCTGCCAAGCCCTCATTCTACAGTTTAAGAAACATCACCACAGTGTAATTCTCCATGCATAATTTACTGTACGTGCACACCTGCTCCACATGTAGCACTTACACAGGTCTGACTTTTATCTCAGGTTCCCCAAGTCTTCTAACCAAATCTCAAATACATGCACATCATACCCTTTCCAAATAATCTAATAACATAAGAAAAAGCATGTTTTTTCCATGCAGCGGCAAACCAGATGCCCATAGGATCTCTCAGGCAGACTATGAGTACCACACCTCCCTGCTGCTCAAGCTCCCCAGCAACTGGTAACGGTGCACACAGGCATCGAGACTGACATCCGTTGATAGTCTTCTCCTCCATGAAATTGTCCAATCCCCTTTGGTGGCCATCATGTCATCTCACGGAAGTGAATTCCATAGTTTAATTTTGTGCTGTGTGATGAAGTCCTTCCTTTTCCCTGAATCTCCCACCAACCAGCTTCATGGGTGACCCCACTGGGTTCTAGTATTATGGGAGAGAAAGAAAAATGTCCCCCTATCCACTTTCTCCACACCATACCATCTCTAACCTTCTACTGTCATACCTCACCACATTCATATTTTGCTGTATCATTTCATGTTTTGTTACATATTTATAAAATCCTTTTATGTGTATCCTCTACTCCATCACATTGGCAATTTTTACCAGAAATACAATTGGCAGTTTTGTACACAATACACAGTCCCCTGGTGAGAGAAGTGAATTACAGGTATTTTACAGAACTCCCACATATGTTGTAACTAAGCTTAGTGATAAATGTTAGCACTCGGGAAATGTTTGACAGGACTCTATGATGTTCTGATGCTTTCCCAGTTGTCAGCACTGTATTCTTTTCATCCACAGATCTGAAACATCTCCTCTTCACACCTACAATGTATGTTCTCTTTATTTTTCCTTCAATAGTAATATTACTCTTTATTATTCCTAGCCTTATGAAAATCCCACTCCACACACACCCCTGCTTAAACACCCTAGGTAAACACACTGAGGTCAATATTATTCTGTGTGTAGATAACGCTTCATTCAAGTCCACAACTATGACAATTTGACATCACATCAGCACTACCCAGGTCACACCAAACTATAAGACACTGAGGATACTCCATTCTTCCTCAGAAAGTTTATGATTGTATGGGAAAGGTTGGAATGAAAGAAAAAGTAAAAATAATCTTCCTTGACCTTGCGTGCATCTTCCACAAAGTCCACAATATAAAGTGTCATTTATACTGATTAACAAAAACATGCCAAGACAAAAACACACAGCCTCAAACACATGTTCTCTCCTGATATCCAGTGCAACACTTTCTAAGGCTGTCTTCTTGCTTGTGAAAAGGTCAAGCTGGAAAAGTTAACAGGAGAACAAAAAGGCATTCCTTTATCCATTTCCTAACACTTTATCCCATCCTTATCCATGGCCAAAACACCATTCCCAGGGTGACCTGCCTTTCCAGTCAGAAACGCAAGTCCAGCAATAAAAACATCAGAGATGCAGAGCATTCAAAGCAAGAACTCGAATGAGCAACCTTCCTCGGTGCTACCCTGGCCCGGGGCATCGGCCCGGATGCCCTCGTGTTCCGAGCGCTTCGGCGCCTCTTCTTTCCGACATATGCCATCTTAACACCGCCCCTTGCACAGCTGCGGGGCCCAAGTCTCCAAGCCACCGGGCTGCGTGTCGCCGTGGCGGGAGCAGCTCCGGCGGCGGGCGAAGCCGCTCGTGCCCCCGCGCTCGCACGCCGCCCTCTGCCGCTGTCCTCTCCGAGATGCCACTCGGGGCTCCCTCTCGGCATACGGACGGCGCAGCAACCCGAACGGACGCTCGCTGGCCAGGTCCGAGAGCCACGCTCGCCCGCCCGGGCCGCCCGAGGATGCCGCTGCGGACGGCGGGGCAGCCCCAGGTGCCGACAGCCGCTCGGAACGGGCAGCGCCCCAGCGCAGCCGCCCGAAGCTGCGCGCCCGCCCGCCCGCTTTTCCCTCCCTTCTTCGCACCCAGCCAGCCCCGTACCGGTGTTGTACACATGCAGCTCATCGGCGATGCCTTCGTTGCCGCCCCCGAAGATGATGACCAGCTCGCGGATCGCCACGGCCCGATGCCCGTGCCGCGATCGAGGCACCGGCCCCGTGAAGGAAGAAACCCGCCTCCAGTTAAGGGCAGCGGCGCCCGCCGCCATCTTATCCCCCCACGACCACAATGCACCGCGGCGGCATCCAAGGCGGCTTCTGGGGACGGGCTTGGCGAGGGGAACGGGAGAGCCGGGCGGCGGCGGCGGCTCCTCTGCCTGGTGTGTGTTCGCTGAGCTGCTGCAGGAGAGTCTCGCGAAGGAGGCAAGGCTGCCAAGGCACTTCCCGGGCATTGGTCCCCCGGAGCGCCACGGCTGTCTTCTGAGTAGACCGGTCAGCCTGGAGCTGGGGCATTGTTAACAAAACAAAATGTCTGTGCCTTGAGTCCCAGTGCTACTGAGCACATACAGAGCTCTCATAAACTATTTCTCGAAGTGAGCAAAGTGATTTTTTTTTTTTAATGACAAGGCCAAAGCGCCTTAGTTATGGGGAAAGTGCTTTTCCCTTGCAAAAGAGGCTTATTTTGTGCCACTGTGCAGCCTCAGCATCTGTTGAGGGCACAGTTCTAGAACAAATTTTTTTTGAAATGCCTTATTGAGCCTCTTTTTAACTCCCTGGCTTCTGTGTTGTAACTGCCTGGCGACTGTGACACATGCATTGGTAACTTCCCGATTAGACTTCCGTAACGCGCTCTACGTGGGGCTGCCCTTGAAGACGGGCTGGATACTTCAATTGGTGCAAAATAGAGCCGCCAGGTTGCTGACGGGGACTGGGTGTTGTTCTCATATAACCCCAGTCCTCCGTCAGCTTCACTGGCTCCCCATTGAAGTCTGGGCCCAATTCAAGGTGTTGATTATTACCTATAAAGCCCTCAACGGCTTGGGACCTGGTTATCTAAAGGAGTGCATGCGTCCATATATGCCCTCCTGCCCCTTAAGTTCGGTGGAGGAGGCCCTTCTCCAGGAACCCTCCGTGAAGGATATTAGGAGGGTAAGTACTCAGAGGAGGGCCTTCTCTGTGGTGGCACCCCACCTATGGAATGCGCTTCCCAGAGAGGTCCGCCTGGCACCATTGTTATTTGTTTTTCGGCACCAGGCCAAGACCTTTTTATTTAAACAATATTTTAATTGTTAATTTAGTGTTCTTATTTATTGGTTTTAAATGGTGGCCGAGATACTCCGAATTTTTAATGTTATCCTATTCTATATTTTATCTGCCGTGTAAGCCGCCCCGAGGCTTTCTGCGATGGGTGCGGCATAAAAATGTTATAAATAAATAACTCACAATGGTTACAACTGTGAGTTGTAGGTCACCTACACAAAAGAGACTTAAAAACTCTCACAATCATTCATAAAATTTGTTGAAAAGGCCCCTGAGAACATGCAGAGTGCTATTTTGTCCATTGTGTGAGTGCAGAGATCGCTGCATGTGACAAACTGGGAGAAATGGCATTTTTAGATTGATGGAACCTCAGGATAATTTCTACAAAATAAGCACGGAAAACAGTTTGGCCTTGGTCTGTTTAAAGACAGGATGCTTCTGTCTTATTCTCAGTGCCTGCCTCCCAAGGCAGCAGCAGTTCCACATTTGCTGTGGGCTGAGATGGCAATAAGCCATAGCTTGAGGGAGGACGACTTGAACTGTGCTCCAAACCGTCTGACTTATCTGCACTCTGGCAGCTGCAGTGCCAACACACATACCTCTGTGCAGCCGCGCCTAAACAATGCACTCTGCAAAATGATGCCAGTTGCCTTCCATATGTCTTTTGTTAAGGGGCGGAATCCATGTGGCAATACAGTGTGCATCACTGGACATTGTCCTCCTGTCTGAGTCAGACATTATCCTCACAGCAAACAGATGTGCAAGCAGTTTCTCTGCCTTTCATTGCATACATTACCTATTTCAAAGGAGGAACTTTCTATGGCAACAGAGGGGTTGTTTTTTCAGTGCTGTTCTCTCCCACAGAACCCTACCCACAAAACGTTTGCAGGCTTAGGGAGCACTTGATAACTTTGGTCCCCCCTCTCTCTCAGCATTTTCCCTCAAAGAAGGGCCATCCCCCTAAATTATTAATTCTACTAGTGTGCACAGGACTCCAGCCAGACAAGGCTGCCTCTGCAGCCACTCTAGATGCCTTACCTCCATAGAGCTGGTGATGACCACCGTGCAGGTAAGGCATGCTACAGGTGGAGGAGGGTAATATCTCACACAGGAGGAGAGAGGTCTCCCACATGTGGGAAATCCTTATGCTGGTGACAACAGCAACAACCGTGTCTGGCTCAGCAAAGCCCTATGGGGGAAGTCGTTCCATTCTTTTTAGGCCCTTCCCAGGCTGCAGGGCAGGCTGTTCAGGCTGGACTAGAACGCGTGGTTGTCTTGCACTGAAACACACAGGTGGTCTGTGGGACAGCTGCAGCACTAGCCACACAGTTGGCGAGGAGGTTATGTGGCTGCAAACGAATGTGAGATAGATGCCATGCTTCCACTTCTTCTTCTACCTCCCCTGCTACTTCTTGACATCCATTGGCCTGGCGGTGGCATATCTGCACTTGTCAGACAGGCCAGTCCACAGGTACGATCTACATTTCAGGCACAGCACAAACTAGTATCAGCATAAGGCTCTTCCTTTTCATCTTCTGTTCCACAGGTATTTTTTGCAAATTTTGTGCATTTCAGAATCCAGCTAATTCATTCTTAATGTTACATAGATGACCTACTCACCGGAGGGCAGAGGAGCCTCTGAGGAAAACTTTGACCTGTCTCTCAGACCATGGTTCCATAGGGAGCATGTCCAAGGTGTGCATCATCTGCGACACTTAGGTGTGTGTTGGGACCCTCAACACAAGAAGGTCACAGGAATGGATGACAAACATTTTGGAATCTGTGGCTTCTAAGGAAGCTCTATCCTCAAGAACTTGGAATACCTCCAGAGACTGATGGACAAAGTTCCACACCAGAAGCCTGTACTGGTATCTCCTCAAATTTCAGGTCCAAATACTGTTGAGAAAGCACATTAAGGCCTTCATAAGGCCATCAGCTCCAGCCTTTGGTAGTCACACCAGAATCCAGGTGATGATAGATGCCAGCATGATGGGTTGGGAAGCAGACTGGCTCCCACAGTTGTCACAGGGCTCCTAGTCACAGAAAAGGAAACATATCCCATCATTGGCTGGACGTAAAAGCTATATGGATTGCCTCCCTAACTTTTTCAAAATTAGTAAGCCAGAAACATGTCCTAATACACAAAGTCTGCATGACTGCAAAAGTCTGCATGATGCATAAGAGAGAGCGCTCCATGCCAATGAACAGGAAATAAACATCTAAATAAATATATAAATAAAGCAAGGTAGGATGAGATCCAGCAATTTACAAAAAGCAGCTGACCACTATCCTGGACAGAAAAGAATCTATGTTCAGTCACAGCAGAGTACATACAGGGGACATGCAATGTACAAGCGGATTGGCTATACAGAGAGAAAGACCAGGCTGAGTGGGCCTGCAGGAAATACTATGCAGAACAGGTAAAGGGATGCCAGCCTCCTTTGAAGAGGAATCTTATGAGGAAGAACCTGCAATATTAGAAAGTAAAGTGAAAGCTGCTCTGAAAGCACTTGGAAAAAGTCACACCTGAAGTAGCTAAGCTACCACTATAACTATTCCAAGCTGCAGGGAATGAATCAGTCAAAATCCTTAACAAGAACATGCTAACAAATATGGAAACCAACAGAATGGTCCACAGATTGGAAATGTTCAATATACATTCCAGTCCTCAAGAATGGAATTGCTATATGAGCATTGCACTAATTTCCCCAAGCAAGCAAAGTGATCCTCAAGGTGCTGCAGCAAAGAAGCTTGCCCTACGTGGAGCAAGAAATGTCTGATGTTCATGCTGGATTTCTGGAAGAAAAAGTCTCTTGAGATCATATCACAAATATATGGTGGCTATTGGAACACACCAAGGAACTTCAAAAGAGAATAGGTCTGTGATTTACAGATTTACAACAATGCCTTTGATGGTGTGGATCACAAGAAGCTATAGGTGGTCCTGTAAGAAATGAGGGTGCCTGGGCACTGACTGTCCTAATTAACCTGCATTGTGGACAAGATTCTACCATTAGGACAACAAAATGGTTCTCTATAGGCAAAGGTGTCAGACAAGGCAGTATTGTATCCCTTATCTGTTCAATCTGTATGCAGAACATACAAAGCAAACTGGATTAGCATCAGAGGAAGCAGTGAAAATTGGTGGAAGATACAACCATAATTTAAGAACTGGCAGAAAGCAGCAACAAATTGAAATGACTCCAGAGGAAATTGAAAAAAGGAAGTGCAAAAGCAGGATTGCAGCTGAACAATGAGTAAACAAAGAGAGCTACAGAAGAATTGCACAACTTTAAGGATTGAAATTGAAATACTTTGGCTCAGTCATCTAAGCGAAAAGTCCACTGAAATAATGGCATCTTGCTTTATGCCTAAAATGGGGCAGAGAGAATGCCTGAGGAACTTTTTAAGGGGATGGGTTTCTTTCACTGCACATACAGTAAGGTCAGTACAATACATATCATATACAGTACTATACATATACAAGTTATCTAAAGGAGCGCTTGCATCCATATATGCCCTTCTGCCTTCTGAGATCGGCGCGGGAGGCCCTTCTCCGGGAGCCCTCTGTGAAGGATATTACGAAGGTGAGTACCCGGAGGAGGGCCTTCTCTGCGGTGGCACCCCACCTATGGAATGTGCTCCCCAGAGAGGTCCGCCTGGCGCCGTCATTATTTGTTGGCCAGGCCAAGACCTTTTTATTTAAACGATATTTTAATTGTTAATCGGTTGTTTTATTTGTGGTATTAAATTATGGCCGAGAAACTCCAAATTTTTAATGTTATTCTATTCTTTATTTATTTTTTTTGTAAGCCGCCCCGAGACTTCGGCGATGGGTGCGGCATAAAAATGTCATAAATAAATAAATAAATAAATAAATAAATAAATAAAATACTACAAGCAAAGTTATCCCTTCTCTGGGCTGCCAGAATATGTATACATTTTCATGATACAGAAAGTCATTTTAGTGGCTCATTTGGGAGAACCTTTATCACTCCCCTTCTCTTTCCCTCTGACCTTCTTGGCATTCATAAATGATGCTTGTTCTTTGATTGCATCCTACCTGGTCCTTTGAAGGGTTTGCTTGCCTCCAGCACTATTTATTGTGCAGAGCAGATAAAATATTTTTCCCTGTATTTCATTTTATCTTATAACTTGTACATTATACACTTGAGATATAGCTTCCAAAACACACACAAAATTTGTTTGTGTTTCCCAAAAAGAGCACATATTTAGATTATTATTTTGTAAGAATAAGATCCACTATCCTACAATTGTTTCTTTTTCATATGCATAAACCAATATTGCCCTGTTTGTGAAAATCAGAAAAAAGCATTAAGCACAAATGCAATCTGAGTTCAGAGCAGTTACTGAACTTCCTTCATTTCCCCCTCTCTCTGGAATTTTCTGTCCATCCAAGATTAAGTGGAGCAGGAGGAGGAAAGTTTGCCAGTGGTGGAGCTGCAGCATTCGGCACATCTGGAAGCAGTTTATGGGGCTCTCTTGCTCCAGCAAGGCAATGTCTGGATTCTGTGCAGTTCCATAGTCACTGAGAAAGGAAGGAAAAATAGCTCCAACTAAACACACAAAGGAATTTTTAAAAGACTGTCTCCCTGAAAGTATTTTAGAGGAATTACAAACGTAAAGTCTCACTTGCAGAATTCTAACAGTGATCCCACGAGAAAGGCAGTTCTGGCATGAATGTTTACAGCACTGGACCTTCTTCTTACCAAGAGCCGCTGCCCTGCAGTTATTTTTCTGGAGAAAGAATTCTCAGTTGTTGTGCTGCCTTTGAAAGGTAAAATATTTAATTCTGCAGGAAATATCTCAGTCATAATTTCCTTTTCTGCTCCCCTGCTTCAGTCTTTTGCTTTGCTGTATGGTCTTGCAATTGTGTCTGGAGATTGTCAGTATACAGTAACGAATTTCCAAGTGCTTCAGTCAATGGCTGCAGAGCTGGAAAATGACTTCATTTTCCAAAAATGAAAACTTAAGATTTTGTGGCCTTGATGGTTTTCACATATTAATTTTAAAAAGCAGTGTGTTTTTAATATAAGTCTCTCAAGCTCTGAACTCTAGGCTTAAAAATCTGGTGCAAGTTACACAGATATGATTGTTTTTCAGGCAAGCTCCAGGTACTTATAGCCTTGATGCATTACAGATGGCCATGTTGCTGTACGAGAAATCTTGGTGCCTTGTAGGCATGATCATTTGTCCTTTAGGTTGTGTTTATATATTTGCAAGTACATATGTGTCTTTAGGTCTCAGTGTGCGCTCAACAAAAGGCATCTTAAGTCAAAAGTACTGCCCCTGGGGCTTCTAAAGTCTTGAAGGCAGCAGAGTATGTGGGACACGGAACCCATGCTCACAGAATTGTAGATGAATTAATCCAGGAATTGCTGAAATGTAGAGGGAGCAAACTAGCATGATAGGGGCTCCAATTTCAATTAACGAGTCATGGTCACCCAGTTTGTAGTTTGCTAACTTGCCTTCTAAACACAGACACGCAGACAGTTTAGTCCCTAAACATTCCAGAGCTATCCCATGGTTTGTTGTTGAATTAAATGTGAGGTGCTTTACACCTAATGGTTTAAATATCATGCTAACGGCTATGGGACAATTTTAGGTTGTTAATTGAAAGTGGAAGTGCCACAGACAGTGTATATACTTGCTCACTCTAGATTTCAGCAGTTCATGGATTAATTAAACCATTGTTGTTATGAGGTATGAACTGACTCAATATGTATTCAGAATGAACATCCTGTGCCTTGAATCAACACTGTGGGTTATGTGTCTGTCTGTTGCAAACTGTTCATTTTCATGTTGCACATGGTATCCAGGGGAAAAATAATTATTCAGATGCATATACCCAATTTAAAACAAGAAAGCGTGTGTTTGTTCCTATGTGATTTTTCAATTTTAGAAATAAAGTCAAACAGCTGTGTAATTTATTGAACGTATGACCATGCTTACTGCACCCTATGACTCTAAGTAAAATAAAAATATTTATTTATTTATTTATTTATTAAAACATTTTTATGCCGCCCCATTCGCCCAAGCCTCGGGGCGGCTTACAACAATAGTAACAGTACAATAGTACAATAGTACAATAGTAACTGTTACTATTGTAACAGTTACAATAGTAACAGAAATGTTCTTTGATATGTAAAGGGAAATTGTGCCACCAAAAATATTTGATGTTTGTTTGTTTAATTTATTATTACTTGGATATGGAATGCGTTTCTAAGGGAGGGGCATGAAGCCCCATCAGTGAGGGTGTTCAAGGAAAGATTGGACAACCACATGTTGGGGATTACATGAGTGGAACCAGCTGGAGCTGTGGGGGTGAGGTGTCAGACTAGATGGCCCAGGAGCACCCTTCTCACTCACTTTGTTTCTATGTTTATTTTTATATCCCATCATTTTTCCTCTTGCAAGATCCTAAACATGGCTTACCTGGTCTTCCTCCTTTCATTTTATGCTCACTACAGCACCCGAGAATTAGGTAAGGCCGAGAGTTAGTGGCTGACCCAAAGACTCTCAGTGTGCTTCATGACTGAGTGGAGACTAGAATCCACATTTCCCAAGTCTTGGTCCAATATTCTAACCCCTATGCAATGCTGGAATCAACAGTAATATAAAAAAGAACACACGCTTTGTTTTCTTTGGAGTCACACAGCTGAAAAATGTTTTAAATAAATAAATAACAATGATATGAATGGAGCATGCTGATATATCCTCTCAGATACCCATGAATATGATCTTAACATCAATTTGTTAATCAGTTCGTGTCAGTGATAATCTGGTATCTTCAGCCTTACATCTTTATTTTTGTTTAAATCAATCTCAAATGCACTGTAAGTCCTACTCTTGCATTTGATTTTCCTTCCTTTGGTTCCCTTTAATGCCTATTCTAATGTGGCATATATATTTTTATATAAGGTCTCTCTCTCTCTCTCTCTCTCTCTCTCTCTCTCTCTCTCTCTCTCTCTCGTGTGTTCAGCTATGTCTATATCTATGTCTACAAGCCAGTTTCATACTTTGCCCCTGGGACTGTAGAAGTAAATTATTATATTAGAATTTTATGGCATTCTTTGAAGAAATACATTTTAATTTCAGATCTGTGTTGGATAATTTGGGGATCCTTTCCATTCAAATGGAAAGCAAAATCTAAAGGTTAAACATGGGTCTGCAGGAGGTCACTAAGCACAGACAAAATGTGTATTTAATTTCCCCATCTCATTCAGTTTTACCTTTTATCTGCAGACTGCAACCAAATGAAAGAACCAGATGGCTCTGTTACGAAAAAGTAAGTCACCTCCAGGGGTGTGGGGAGAAATTAGAAGAGGTTGTTCAGTAGCTGCAGTTTCACTGAAAAGCTTGGCCAAAAGGAAATAGTAAAGGGCACCCAATGCTGGGTCAGCAACAGAAACTGAGAGGGAACCTGAGCGAGCTGGAGGCAACATGAAGGCTGATCAGTGGGGCACAGGCCAAAGAATAGCTTGAACACTGGTTGGAAACCCACTAAAGGGCTTTCCTTCTGGCAGTGAAAAGTCCCAGATTATGTTTCAAAGGCCTGCTTACACACTACATCTTCTGTGGCCTATAGGGACTGTGTGGGACCATGGATGCCAGAGCCAGGGGAATTTCCAGGAGGAATCATCAGTTTTGGTGTACATCTCTCATCAGTCCAAGCCAGCATAGCCAGTGGTCAGGGGTGGGAGCTGCAGTCTGAAACATCTGGCAGGTATCACACTGGGGAAAACTGCTAAACATACTGATGAGGGAACAGATCCTGCTGAACTCAATGGGACATACTACTGGATAAAAATGCTTTAAATTGTGCTGTTAATGGTGCATTCAGTATTGATTGTTGGCTAGTTCTCCTTTGTTTTACAGTTAATCAGATCCTACTGTTCCTTCTTGTTTTGACTGTCTGTGTCATTCTGTATAATAAAGTTCACAAATTGCCATCTGCTGACCTAAGGAATGAACCAGGTAGGCACCTCTAGTTAAAAGTGGAAAACAATTGGTGGGTGGAGCTAGTGGAAGGGGGTGTGATAATCTGGGGAAACCAGGATGGCCTGATTTGACCCATCAGTCACAGATTCTGCACTCCTGCTTTAGTAGCTGGCATTATGTCAGCCCCCATATCCCCTTATAAGGATGTTCACACCCAGTGTAACTAAAGGACCACGGCATATAAACAAGCACAGAAACATTGATTCAGCATCATGAGGAAATATGGCAGCCAAGACAGTGTGTGGAACATGTGACAGATACAGGTAGGATGTTACAGGATGCCTAGCAATTTAATGTGATTAATGCTGTGTTAGAGACAAGGGACTTTTTGTAAAATACTACATACAACCATACTATATAGATTGTGTGTAATAATTAGGGTTGTACATTAGCTTCAGTGAAGTCCAGAACTGAATTGGGCTGATTTGGATGGATTTAGAAGATGTCTGAATTGAAATAGAACTCCTCTACAGCTGACAAAATCCAAATACTCCTGAAGATTCAAAGGAACACAGAGCTAGTGTGTCTTCAAAAGCTGGAAATTTTTTCACCAGGTTCTCCAAATAAGGAGAACACCAATGTGGAGAGGAGGGGTTGTAGCATTCTGACTGGCAGGCCTAGCTTCTAATCACAATGAATGTCTTACCAGGGCTTTCCAATCTGAGTGCTTTCAGGGAGGGATGTTAAAGAAATGTATCACATCCAGTGTTCAGTGCTGTTTGCTAGTTCACTCTCTCCGGAACAGGAATGTTTGGATACATTTGGTGGCGTCTGGCACCTGGCTCACTGGGTGCTTGCTACTTCTCCTTCTGCACCTTCCAATGCATCCTCCACACCTGTTACCTGCTCCTTTTGCAGTTCCTGTGACTGATGCTAACTGAGCAGAAAATTTAAGAGAGTTCATTTCCCCCCTTTATTATAACTGTCTACCACAAGTATATACTTCTGAATTTATGTAGCTTTCTTGCCTAGGGATACCTCTATGGAGTATGCCATTTTTATATCATTTTTAAAGCATGCATGTGGATAAGAAAAAGTGAACACTTTCCCTCCAAAATGAATGCTCCCTTTCCACAAAAAGTGACTAAACTTATTTTTCTGAAATACTGCAGGATTCTTAATTAGGGCCACTTCTATGTTGTATGTCATTTACTCACAAGAAAAACAATTGCTCATAGGGAACTTAGAGGAATAAGCATGTCCTTTAAAAAAAATCCCCAGAGCTTGAAGGATGCTTGTGCCTATACCTGTTCATCTGAAACACAGCAGATTTAATCCTGTCAAAGGGGGCAACTATCCCTGCAAATGCACCCTATTTTGCCAAGGAATTAAAAATGTATCAGCAACTTTAAAACAAAAAGCAGATTTAAAAAAACAGATGTTAAAGTTGCATAGCACTAAACTCCCCACACACCAATTTTCTTAATTTGGAAAAGTGTAATTTCCTCATCAGGAACTACAGTGGCTTCACATTCCATCCAAATCTGGCCAATCAAAATGTTAAAAAAATCCAGTGAGTGTCAGTGGGAAACATGACATTTAAATTCTCAAATATGACTTTGATTCTGCTTTGAGTAGAAGTGGGCATCCTCCAAATCAGCCTGAGTCAAACTGGGTTGTTTTCTGAAGGGCCAAACTGGAGTCCAACTGTATATTGTGATTTGTGCACACCCCGGTATTAAATGGCTTCCTCTTCATCTTAGTTGATTTGGAGAGCCCCGAGGAAATGGAAGAAGAAATTCCTGTGGTGATTTGTGCTGCTCCAGGCAGGATGGGTGCAGCAGTTGCCGCAATCAGCAGCATTTATAGCAACACTGACTCAAATGTATTGTTCTATGTAGTTGGGCTGAGGAACGGCATTCCACATATCAGGTGAAGTAATTGATGGAGTGGTGACATTTACTGGCTAAACCGCTACATAGGTGGACTGCAAGATATACTGCCACGGGGACAGATACAGCAACAGAAAACCCTAGAAATGGTGGTAGAATTGCCAGGATTAAATCATGATGGGACAGAATTGAGGGAGGAAGGAAGGATGGAGGTGAGGATGCAGAAAGGCAGAAAGTCCTGCTGGGGGTGGTATCTAACCACCATTCTCCGGATTGTTGCCCTCTTGGTCTGCAATACCGGGTGCTCCTGTCTGTACTGACTGGGGCTTATGAGAGTTGATGTTCCAAATATATGGAGGGCACAAGGTTGAGAAAGGGTGGGCTAAATTGTTAGCAGAAATGATTGATCTTTTTACTTGGCCACCTGCATGAACCAAAGGGACACGACAGTCAGGATCTCTCTTAGTGTAAGAATTGCATCAGTGCACACATTTGCGTGTGAAGAAAGAATGCAAAGTAATATCCAAATCTTTGTGCGAGGATGAGCAAGCTGAGTGGCTGAATAATTAAACTTCTGCTTTACTGTGTGATCCATTTGCATTCCATTTGAAAGATGTTATCAGTAAACTGAACTCAGATATCCAATTAATGTCTTTTAAAACATGGTATTTAGGAGGGCTCAGAAATTGTTCATTGTATTTTTTTTCAGTTGCTTATTCTTTATAGTGTATGGTGAAAAGTGCACCCTGCAGGGGAAAGCTGTAAAGATTAGGGATAGGGGAAGGAATGAGTGATACGTGAAATACTACTACATGTTTTCATTCATATGCTTCCTAATATGCTTCTGTTTACATTTCAGAAAGTGGATTGAAAATTCCAGACTGAAAGATATAAAGTTTAAAATTGTGGAATTCAATCCCATGGTACTAAAAGGGAAAATCAGACCAGATGCAGCACGCCCTGAATTACTTCAGCCTGTGAGTTTATACATACCACGGGGCAGCGAAAGATGTTTTCAAGATGTTTTTTAACATAATCCTTGAATTTCAGTCATAGTTCTACCCTGCCCAGATTGCAGATAGTCTCAGGGTAGCTTGCATTTATAAAAGCCCCCCAAATTTTTCTTGGTAAAAGTCATACATATTTCTACAATAAGCCTCTCAAAAACTAGGGGAGATGCATGAACGTTATTTGGCTGAAATGGCCCAATAAAGGCAGCCAGAGAGAAAGGGAAACAACAAAACTGAATTAAGCCAGGAGAAATCAGCCCAAAACCTTCTTTGAGTATTGTGACTGCTGAACTCTATAATATATTAACACTTGAGTACTGTTAAAAAAAATGAAAAAAAGATAAGACCATGATTTCCAGGACTAGATTCTCTACATATTGGTCCTCATGTAGTAGTAGGCTTGAATGATTGCAACCCAGAAATTTATACTACATTGTCCCATTCCCTGGTGCAAAAGACTCACTCATAACCTGGAATAAATAATTCTACCTTTAAGTAGGACCATCAGGTTGCATTGCATATGAATGCATCAATATTGCTCCTTAACTTCTCTGACACAGGAGGAGATGGAGCCGGTGTGGCTGTCTCTAGCCATTCCATTCCATGTCCTGCCATCTTGTTCAGCCAGTGGGAACAAAGTCTCCCCATGCAGGAGCCAGCTGTGGGCAACAACAGCAGAGTAGAGCAAAGGGGTAAATGAGCAGGAGAAGCCAGGGCTACCTCATCACCCTCTGCTGCAGCAGGGAATTGGTTTCAAGGTTGCATGAGAGCAGCTTTACCTAGAGATGGTATAAATTTCCTCCTATCAGGAACATATGGCCAGGTTTGCATAGCAACATAGCAGAAGAAACATTTCAGTGCTTAATTTTGATTTGTTGTTCTAGGAAGCCTAGAATTGGAAGGGGCCACTTAGGCTATCAGGTCCAACACTCTGCTAAGTGCAGGAATCCAGTTTAAAGAGCCTGGACAGATGGCTGTCCAGTCTTTGCTTGAATACCTCATGACAGAGACCCTACTACCTCCCTAGATAGTTGGTTCCATTGTTGGTCTAAAGAGTGGTGTCTAGAACTGGACACAGTATTCCAGGTGAGGTCTGATCAGCACGAAGTGGAGTAGGAATTATTACTTCCCCTGGTTTTGAAACTACACTTCTGTTGATGCAACCTCAAACTTCATTTGCCTTTTTCCACCCACTTCATACTGATGACTTATATTCACATATAAACAAGCTGAAGTGGGATAAAGCTCTAACTTGTTTTTCAATACCCAAAAAGCAGTTAGTGATTAGTTATATTTGTATTTCCTTATGAATTGTTGTGAACTGCCCAGAGTACTTCAGCTAATGGGCAATGTAGAAATGAAATCAAAAAATAATACAAATATGACAAGAATACTTTCCATCTCTAATTTGTCCTGTATCTATGATTTGTCAATTCATGGTTTTCCATCAACACCAGCATTTGTAATAAATTAAACTAAACAGCATGGAAATCTCCAAATAAAAGATCTCTCATATGCATTATGTTTTTGCCTCCCCACCCCCTACCGGACATTTTATTACTTGAAAAATTTCAGTCTTCTACTTCATTCATCTATATATTTTAAATTTCAACAGCTCAACTTTGTACGATTTTATCTCCCTCTACTTATCCACGAACATGAAAAAGTAATATATCTTGATGATGACGTGATTGTGCAAGGTAAGCAGCATGTCCAAAAAATTCTCCCTAAATGGTTGAAGATTCAGAAATCTATATTCTGCACATTTTTACTTTGCTCTACTCTGCATGCTAGAATATTTGAAAAAAAAAGTAGCAATCTTACACTGAAATAAAGTAACATGTTGCAACAGAAGAATACTATGTAAAGACAGTAATAAGCATAGACAAATGCCGCTTTTGAAAAACTCGCATTTTCTTTAGGTGATATCCAAGACCTGTATGACACAAAGTTATCTCATGGCCATGCTGCAGCTTTTTCAAATGACTGTGACCTGCCGTCAACTCATGAAATGGTTAGAAGCGTAGGAATGCAGGTAAGTAGTTCTTGCAACATAAAAATTCCTGATGTAGTTTTCTACCTCATTCTTCAAAGTTTCACATTTTGCCTAACTTCTTCACAGTAATTTTGGGGAAGGTGATGGCATTAGATCAAGTAATACTTTTGTTTTCTCATGCCCCACTTGTGTAGGGGAAGTAGATTAAGACACTTCAGGCCTTAAGGGAGAGCTCCAAAAGCAACCACATGGTCTTTGTGGAATGTTGCATGATTTCCAGGCTTACAAATCAGGGACACACCCACAGTTAAAGGTAACAGAGATTCTTAGGCTCAGTTAAATGGTTAATAGGAAGGGCCATCAGGATGCTTCAGGCAGCATAGCATGTGTTCCTGTTTACTGTTTGTAAGAAGTAACTGAAGCAGCATGCAGTCCCTAAATTACTTACTCCTGCCACCCAGTCCCTTCCTTGTGGATTATGTATCATGTTATGCACATATACTCACACTTTTTTCATTCCGGTCTTGGACATGAGAAAAGGAAATGTGATTAGACAAGCTCTTAAGAACATCTGAATTGAGTGTACTCACACTTTGCTTTATCCCACTTAGAATACCTATATGGGGTTTCTGGACTACCGAAAACAAACAATCCGAGATCTTGGCATAAGTCCCAGCACCTGCTCCTTTAATCCTGGTGTCATTGTTGCCAACATGACAGAATGGAAGCACCAACGAATCACGAAGCAGTTAGAAAAATGGATGCAGAAAAATGTAGAGTATGTAGAAACATCCCATTTGTGGTATCCTTAACTGGTTGTCCAGTTTACTGTATCTAATAGATGCGTAGAATATTTAGATTTTTAAACAACACTCTTCCCTTTACTTTTTGTGTCTTGCTGTACCTTCCAAGTATCCACTTCTTAAAACACCAGATTAACACACAGACTCTTTGTTGTCTATAAGTTCATATCTTATGCATGTTCAAGCAATGCACTGAGCATCTGAACAAATCCTCAAGGGTAGTGAAGATGATACATTTTCTTTGCAGCACTGGGAAGCCTCAACTCTGCTTAATGTGGTAAATTGTGCTCTGATTCAAAAACAACAAAAAGCTATTGTTTCAAGCCAGTAGCTTGACTTTTGTTTCAAGAAGCTGAAGTACAAGTGATCTAAAAAGTACAAAGTGGCTGGGTTCACACAACCTATTAACTCCCTTGGACATTTTAACCATAATTGTGGTTAAAATCCTGCTGTGCTTGCCAGCTGATCAGGTGTAGCAGTTGGGTGCTTCATCCTCCCTCTTTTCCCTTCCTCCCCAACTAAGTCCCAGGGAACACTACAGGAGTACAGAAATGCCCCTTAAGGCGTAACCAGCCATTTTGTGCTGGCTTTAGTTTTTTTTTGTTAATGTGCCTGTTATCACTTTGGAACGTGAGGGCAGCCCAAGGCTACAAGAAGTTCCCCCCAATCTCCCCCCACCAATCTTATTCAAAAGTGTGCTTTCAACACACACCAGCTTTAAAAAAATAGCACTGAGCTAAAAGTTTGCCATTTGGTATGCACACAGTTTTGAACTTTTTTAAAAATGGGGGTATGTGGAAAGTAGCATTTGCTGTGGAATCTCCAGGGGTTTTGCTGGTGGGGTGCTCATGTGGCCCTAGTCTGTCCAAGTGTGGATAACACTGGTGACCCCCGCACACACCAAGAGCCTATTAAAAAGTGTTTTGGCGGATACAACTCAGTCCTTTCTACCAATCAGATATTCTCCAGGAATTTGGGGGGGGGGGTGCAAGGAAGCTCCAACTGCTCCTCAGAAACCCCTGTGGAGGGAGGGCATAAGTCTTGTGATTCAAAGTGGCAAGCTTGCCTCCCTGTGTGGGGTTTCCCCAAATTTAGAATTGATCCCTCCCCACTGTGAGCAGAGAGAAGGGATGCTCTTCCCAGGTGTCCCTAAATGCTGCTTTGACTTTCCGGGCTGCCTGGGAAAGACAGCCATCTTCCAGCTTCTTGGCTGGAGTACCAAGCCTGTTTGCTGCTCTTGCCAAGGATTTTTTTTTACTTGATCATGGCTTATTTGGTTATCTCGATTCCGATAACACAATAAGCCACGGTAGGTTTGTTAAACTTCACTACAAGCTATGGCTAGTTTCAGTAGTTTATAAGCCACTCTGCAGGAAGGACAGCAACATGCTAAACCACCATAGTTTTTCAATACAGCTTAACTTGTTGTGCAAATCCAGGCAATATTACTTTCAAAAGCAGCTTCCTTTGTTTTTGTAGCATCATTTTGGAGGGAGAAAAGGTATACTTGGAGATTGCTATGTATCAACTGGTAGTGATAAAACTAAAGGGCTATGAATTTTCAGATAGTCCATATTAAATGCAAAATACACCTTCTAATCTAAGCTTCAATGATATAACTACTCCAAATGCTGTTGTCCTATTTTCTAATTCCAGCTGAATTATACTACCTTGTTACTCAGTTTTTCCACACTGTCATTGAAAGGGCTAGCTTAAAAAAGCAACCCTTCTGAAAACTTGACTGTTTAAAAAATTCTTTTTCAGAGAGAATCTGTACAGTAGCACTCTTGCTGGTGGGGTGGCCACTTCCCCAATGCTCCTTGTATTCCATGGAAAATATTCACCGATTAATCCTTTATGGCATATTCGACATCTAGGTAAGCTTCAGATGCTGAGGTTGTATGGCTAAACAGAGGCAAAATATCCTCAAGGAGCCACTGGAAAGCTTTTGTCAAGATTTTCATGTTATTCTGCCTATGTACTTTGAAATCCGGCGGAGTGTAAGAAACAGCATTATCATAATTCCTCTCTTATACAAAATGCAACGTTACAACATTTTTAAAAAGTAAACACACAGAAAACCAACTAAATATTTAGGCTTCATTCTACTGTATAACCAAATTAAGTTAAAAAAATATATTGCAAGTTTCCTACCCGGGCCGTCAACTGCAGCTGAGCTCATTTGCGCCCTACTTCATGTTGCTTTGGCATATCATTGTAAATGCAAGCATTTGAGCCCCACTCCAGCATAGCTTACTTTTAAGTTCCTTTGACAACTGAAACTCATTTCCATAGAATCAAAGCACATCAGACTTCCTTTGGATCATGGTTTTGCACTCAAATTATTTGGTACAGCAGTTTCTCAAAGTTTCAGTATTGTAAGGCCAAATTGTCTTCCTTAGCAAGTTGAAGCAAATTGCAAGCCTTGTAATATAATTTGAATAAAACCATGTGATATTACCTTCCCATAATTAAATACTGAAGGCTGCAATCCTATGCACGCATATCTGAAGGTAGGCCCAATGGAAAAGGTTCAACAGAGAGGTAGGACTTTGCATTGTAAATTTCAGTAGGCAGATTTAGCAAGTGCTTACAATAGACTGAATTATACTCACACTAAATGAAAGAATTTTCTAGTAAGAACTTTGTAAAAACAACTTTTCTTTTCAATTCACATAGGATGGAGTCCTGATACCAGGTACTCAGAGCATTTCCTTCAAGAAGCCAAGTTACTTCACTGGAATGGAAGATACAAGCCTTGGGATTATCCTAGTGTTCATACTGACCTGTGGGAAAAGTGGTTTGTTCCTGACCCTTCAGGGACTTTTAAACTGGTTCGTCCTAATAGCTGATATCATTTATGCTTTTAAGGCAACAGGATTAGTCATTTCCAGCATGCACAAGGTACTTAGTATGTCATGATGTGATTTACCTCCTTTGTTGTACGTAAGAGTGGCTGTATGATACTGACTTTTACAAAGCCAACCTAAGTGTTGAAGAGACAACTCAAAATGAAATCTACTGAGGAGCGCATTAGGTCCATGATGCAGTATGCACAGTTCAAAGATGCTTCAATGTCAAGATCTGCTATGAAGACTACATTGTTAAGGAGACACTAGTCTTTATAAAACCAGAATCTCCATGCTCTGTTTCTTACTGAGATACCATTTGCAGCACTTTGAATTCAAAGTGCTTTGCCTTAAAGTTTACCTCCTGTAGTTAACATTAAAGTAAAACTAAGATTAAACATCAATACTTTTATTCATTTCAAATAATTTATCACTGCTTCTTTTCAACACAAAGCAATTCAGCATTAAGACTTCTAAACAATGCCACAGTTAAGCACCAGAAGATACTGCAACAATTCCTTTTTTTTTTTTTGCAAGAAACTGGCAGATCAGAAGTGTTAAATTTTAAAGCACCATGTTTGAGGACAGACATGCATTCACATTTCATTAACCTGCTGTTGTACATTTTATTTCTAAGTAATCTAATGGATGTTTTGTTCAAAGGAAGATGTTTCCTTTTCATGTTTAATAGTTCCTACTAAGCCATCCATCACCTGCGGTAATAGAGTTTTGTTAAAAATAAAAATTGTTCCAGATCCCTGATGCAAGGCACTTCAAGCACTTGCAAGAAAGTGTCCATGTAAACAGCAATACATAAAAAATAAACTGAGGCTGTAATCCTAAACACACCTACTAGGAAGTGAACCCCATTGTAAATAAAGGGCTTGCTTCTGAGTAAATAGGGATAGGATTATATTACAAGCAAATCTTATAGATTGTTGACCACAATGAACAGTTTCCAAGATACTAACATGATCAGAACTAGAACATACATTTATTTTTGTTAAAAAAAGTCATTGTGTTGGAAGATTCAAGCACCTGATTTTGGAGGGAACCCTTATATATGCTTATATCTTATTCAGCAGCAACTCAAAAGGACTCCAGAAAAGTTCCAAAGTTGCTCAGCAGGCCAAGGATTTACTTTAAAGTGATCCATTAAACCCATCATTCTGAACACCAATACATACAAAATGTTTTAAATAAATTCAGCTGTCTGTGGTGTAGTTAAATATTGATCTAAACTATGTATACAATATGGAGAGACAGTTCTTGTGCATAATTCAAGTATCCAAAACACCTAAATCAACAGATTATCAAAACATCTGTTTAATCCTCTTACTGCTTTTACTTTTAAATTAGTTCCTCCCATTGTGATGAAAAGGGAGCTACAGGAGAACAGAAGAAAGCAAATTATTAAGCAAGACAACCAGTTTTGTCATGAATTTAACTTTATAAGCCACCAGCATGTTCTATTTATGTTGTGGGTTCAATACCTGCATGCAGCCTGTTTCTGCCTTCCTCCATTTCTACATGCAAGAGGTAGAGTTTCCCTAACACTGGACTTTTCCTCTCCAAGCCTTACAAGGCAAAAATTAGGGACTGATAAAGCATATTAAGGGTCCACACAGATTTGCTATTTCTGCAGCACTGCACTGCCCACAGAGAGGTGAGGAAGAAGAAAGACAAGATAATCCCTATTAAAATCCTGTGCAGGTAAGTTGCACCCAAAGCCTTATGGAAGTGTTTCATAAAGGGTTAACAATGTGCAGTCTGGTGCATTTGCTTGTAGCTTCCTAGCATTTGAATATCTTGAAATCGCTACTAAATATTTTGGCCAGTGAGATGTGGAAAGCAACATTTCCTAGAAAGGAAAAATACTAAATTCTGGAATAGAACTGAAATGCAATCCATCTCCCTGATTCTTTTTTCAATTCCCTGAACCACATTTTGGTGGCATATGTATATTTAAGAGGCTTATACAGATTTTTCTGCTTCCTTCTCAAGATGGCTCTCTATTCTAGCCAGAAATCCATCCATTCCTAGAACTAGCATACGAATCACACACACCTCCATCGCTGAACATGCAGACAGCACGCAGAAAGGAATAAGCAAAATGTTTGTTGCAGGGGCTCCCACATGTTCCTGAGATAACACGTACACTCCTTCCCCATACCATTCTCTGGACACACTCCCCACTGCACTCATATTTCACAAACTATTTCACTAAGGAGCGGCTCATACATTTGTGTTTATCATGTGATAACCGCAGCATCAAAAAGAAGCCATCACAGATAATACACCGGAGGCAGCACTTCAATTTTCCTCACAAAGAACGCTTTTTAGGGCTAAGCCAAAACGTGGAGAACGAACTACAGTGTATTTTCTCAGAACTGGAGTGGCCTGCCTGGATCACTGATTTTGCAAGGATCATTGTGAAAGTACTGTTCTGGAACCCCCCACTGGCTCGTAGCCTTGTTCTACATGGGCGTCACTTGCTCTTAATGATGTCAGCATATAGTTAAATCAAAATAGTTATACAGCTCTATAATGTTACTACATCCAACATAATTCCTGATTGACTGGGATCACAAAGGATAGAGAGGGAAAAGAAAAACGGCAGCTGAAGCACTAGCAAGCAGCTCAAAATAGAAAAGCTTGGCTCCTGCAAAATAATTATTTTCGAACTAGAGGATGAACCTGAGATCACTTGGCTCAACACTAGTGCTTTTCAATGGAGGTGATTCACACACTGAAGTGCCAGTAATTAATGTCCACACATGCATGAACTGGAACTGGGTTAAGGATTTGATTCCTTTCTTAGAAGAAAAAAAAAAAACTTCTGCTGTAAGGGTCTCTTACCATAGGTAGGCTTGAATATATACTACTGTGTAACAGATTTGTTGGACAACAATTTGCTATGCCAGTGTCCAGTACCAACATTAAATCTACAAGGGCTTTCCCTCTCTTCAGATATACTAAAACACATAAAATATCCCAATGCATGACAGGATAGTTTACAGATTACACTACAAAATACTAGTTTAAAACCAAGAGATGGGTCATCACAAATGAGAAAGCAGTTTGCTAAAATTGCAACCATGGAACAATTTAAAATACAAAAGCTTCATACAAAAAAGGATATCTTTTCTCTTTAAAAACTTGAAGATTTTCTTAAGGTGACCTAATTCATAGGTTTTAAGTCTACAAAGAGAAAGGGTTATAAGAAAATTAAGAGATAAAACACTATTAAAAATGCTTCAGTTGGGGAACTGAGGTACCATTCTTGACAACTGCTTAATTAAAAAACCTCTGCAGCACCTTGGCTTGACTTAAAAGGCAGGATTTAAGCATTGCTTCCTTCTTCCTCTTGTGGTCTTGAGTTGCTGAACTCTGGAATTTGGTCTGTGAAAGACTGTGTCATCCACTGTCCATTGGGTACATCTCCAAAGGATGAGCCACTGCTGTACTCTGTATTGGTTGATGCTTTAAAAGAACAACAACAACCTTAATAGTTTGTTTGTATTATAGTACAGGTTAATTACACATTTCACTTGTCAGAGATACCATTTACAGCATCTTTCCCTCCTCCTGTTTATCAGGAAAGTAGGCTGTGGTTGGGGAGAAGAAGGAAAAGCATAACACATACACCTTTAGGGAAATACTAGCCCTCTCCTGACTCCCAACATTTTCACTTCTGAAAATAAGATGTTTAAAGGCAGCCAAGTTCTCTTTGAGAAGCCAAGAGATAAGCTTGGCTACTGGGTGCTGAAGGAATGAAATAAATATTTTAGAAATTGCTTCTAGCATTCTACAATATCTATAAAATTTACTGGGGAGGATTAACAAAGACCCATGGGAAGTTGCACTGGTGCTGACATCTTCCTCAGAGGCCTGTTTTGCCACTCCCTTTGCCATTGCAGAAGAGACAAGTGGTGACCCAAGAAAGGACCTTCTTTACATTGGCATTCCATCATTAGAATACTTCCTCTTACAAGCATAAGGGTGTAATCATATTTAAAGAGAAAAAAATTCCACGACTCTCATACTGGTTGGTTGATTTGCACCAATTTCCAAATATACTGCTACACTGGTTTTGAACAAAAAGGAAGCAAAAGTACATATTGGAGGACAAGGAACAACATTAAGAGAAATAAAAAAATCCCCATACTCTACCTATTCCATTTGAAAGGAAGTTACATTGTTCACTCTCCATGACCATTTTCTCACCATAAGCACCTCCATAAGCGGCTTCATAACCTGGATCATATTTTTCTTCTTTCACAGCCATCTTCTTAGCCTCCTCTGAAGAAGCAAACCCACAAAATAAAATCAGTTCTTTTTTGAATTCTTGAACTTATCAAAAACATTGCAATTACTGCAAGAGATGGATCCACATTGTAACAAGAAATGATTGTTATCTCATAGGTTGCTGGGCATGAGCGGGTGACCATGGGCGTGCTGTGCTGAGTCAGGAGTTTTGCTCACTTCTTTTCCAGAAACAAGCTGTGGGTGCTCTGTTTGTAGGTTGCAAGTGTGAGATCCAACCCTGGACATTCTGGGGAGGCTTGGAAAATAAAAACTAGCCACACCACACTGTAGAAAGCCACACAGTGTGGCTTGTTTGTCCTAATGTTTGTGATAAACCTAACAGATGATCCAGCACATTATGGCTCTGGAGCCATGCCAGCCTTCCTCCTCAATCCTTCTGCAGGTATCCCAGAGTGCACCACAGGAGCATCAAGGGCTCCCTCACACTGTGCTGGCACTTGACACTGGTGTATGGGGAGCAGCAATGGGGGAGCGCCCATCACTTCAGCCCACCATGGAGCCCAGCAGAAAAAACTGGAGGTGGCAGCCAGCAGAGGGAGGAGCACCTTCTTTGTTACCACCAGTCTGAAACAGGTGGGGCCAAGGAGGATGATCCTGGCAGAGAGGGGATGCTTGTTGGCAAATTCTCCCTGCCAGGATCCAAGTCACATTCTACTGGACCTCCTGCAGGGGAGACCAGTAGAACATGGTTAATCACCTCATCACTTACTCCAGTAAGGGAAGCAAGGCACATTCTGCCAGAAGGCCACAATACACCTGTGGCTTTCCACAGCAGCTGTAGTGGCAACATTCAGCTGGGGGGCAGGGATGGACATAAGCGGTGCCTGCTGCATGCCGGTCCTTCAGGTCACATGGGCAGACTCCACTGCCTCAAGTGGGGCTTGGGAAGGCACCAGTGGTGTGCGGAAACAGGGAAGCCAATGACAACTGCCCAATCTACTGCCTGAGCGCTTAGGTGGCTATCATTAAAGCTTTCTGGCTAGAGAAGCATGACTTTCTGCTATTCTTGCTAAGTGGCTCGTTAGGCTTTGGGACTTCACCTGAGCTTGCCATGTCATCCAAATTCAGATGACACAGCAAGCCCAGCAAAGCCCTACAACTAGCCATGGTTTGCTGGATTGGCTTTCTAGCCACAAAGAAGCTATGCCAAGGGTGTGTGTATGGGCACACATGTCAGGTTCAGATAACACACTAAGCCACTGTGACTTTGAAGCATGTGATCCCAGTCTCTGAGTTGTTTCGATGTGAAGCCATCTTGAGTTAACCTACAACTTTGTTCTTCAGTCATCATGTGCACAAACTACAAATGGAACAATTGTAGGTTATTTATAAAAACAGAAGTGACAACGGGGACATAAGCAACATGTGCATTCACTCCTGGCAATTTCTGGATTGAATAATCGAAGAGCTATGAGAACCAGGTCAGCACTCTGGGGTCTCCAACTTGGTGCCTGTAGGCTCCTTCCCACTTCTGATCTTTACCTAGGAGGCTGGCACACTGTAAAGCAAAATACTCTCCCTCAACACCAACTTTATTTTAGTTCAAATGAACAGCTTTGTATTTTGAAGCTCATGCTCTCACCTTCTATTTATGTTCTTGAACAACTTACTTTTAGTTTCACTATGTTGCCTTCTGGGAAAAGTGTGTGACTGTCTTACACAGCAGCCATTTTATGAATGGGTAAGTCCTCCCACAAAACAATTTTATGAGAGGTCAACAACTTCCTTTCAAAATTCCAACTGAACCTACCAACCTAGAAAGGTTAGACTTATGAACACTGAAGCTTTTCAGTCAGTGATCATTTCTGAAGTATGCTGTATGTTGCTACTGGTTCTTTCAGTAAGAGTTGTAAGAATAACTTAACAGAAGAAATCAATGGACTCGAATAGACCATATTCTGCTTATTTCCATGGCAACTGTATTTAAAATACGTAATAAATGCAGTCTTCCATTTCATGACACTGAACATTTGTCCAGACCTACTTTACTTTTGTGGATTAGATATTTTGAGCAAATCAGAGATATTTTCATTTTATGTGCCATACCTTGTGCAAGTTGCAAGTCAAAGGTGTACCGCACTTCCTGAACCTCTGTGTTTAATGCAATGCCTTTCAGCTGATCCCTCAGTTCTTTGAGCTTTATGTAGTAATGAACTTTATCTTGTGCACGAGGAAATTGAGCACATCTTGCACTGGATGAGGGCATAACATAGCAAAGCTATACAAGAAATACCAAAAAAGAAGGAGTAAGTCACCAAATCAGTAAGCATTTCTAACATATTAACTTCATTTGTTTCAAAATCTTAATAATTTATCGGCTGCTAGTTATTTAAAATGAACAGAACATATACGGCACCATTCCACAACTTGGAAGGCTCTGTGGTTACATTCCTAATCCTGACAGGGACTTACCGTTTCCGTGTCAGGGACCTTATTTGGCTGTAGTCCAAATTCCAACTTCTTAACCTTTACTCCAAAAACCTCTTTGCTAAAAATGTCATAAATACCTAGAGTGATATGAGAGATAAATTGTTAGTCATGATACAAGATCAATGTAACAAAAATACAGAAACAGAATGGATTTAAATAAACCCTCACATTTTCCATTAAAAACTGCTATTTTAGGTTGATACTTCTGCAATTTCTGCACCAGAATACGTCCTCCTTCCCGAAACTCTTTGCTAAGAGAGAGAGAGAGAAGGAGAAAGAAAGAGAGAAAGAACACAAATAAAAATAGGAGCACAACTACACTGATGTACTGTAATGTATTTGAACTTCACTATACCTGGAAAGGTCTTTGCTACCTGGTGTTGTCCTTTCCACCATGTTTGTAAATCCAATCCCATATTTATGTGGCAAAGTATGGTCATCCATATGATTCAACTGTTCTTCACTTAGTCCAGACAGAAAAAGGCACTTCCCTGTGGAGTCAGAAAATACATATAACTTTCATTCTTCAAAATGCATATATTGTAACACATTTTCCACAAGAGTTTTGTAACACATTTTCTTATTTTCCACAAGAGTCTTGTTGCTAAGGCTATAAAATATACATACTATAACTATACACATAAATTATCAGAATGCTGATGGTAACTTACATTACACTGTAGTCAACTCTCTATCACTGCCAAAACACCAGTACTTTAAAGTGGCATGGATTTGCCCTCTATCTACTGAGAGCCCTTTGCCACACAATTTGCTGCCAATGTTCATGAAAGAGAATGACATTGGTTCATCCTGTCATCTGTCACTGCTGTGTTTGATTTTGAGGAATGAAAACTAAACTTGCAGCATTTCACACAGACATAGTTTCATACACGCATCTGCAAATGAAGTTTCTTCCAGCAGAAGATAGCTTGTAGCAGTGATCCCATCTTGAGAACTACCTCCCCTTACCCGCACCATGTCTATAATCAGAAAATTCCAAGTTAAAACTAAATTCTTACATTTCAACTGATCGTGAAAGGATGTACTTACAGAAGTGGTTTCCAGGTCCTGGATAATGATGACCTTTGTAGGCTGCCATTAAACCTGGGTTTATACCAATCTAGAAAGCAATTATTTATAAAGACCAATTGTAATTTTTACTATATAAGGCAAACAACATGTCAGATTAATAAAAAAGAGCAAAATACACTATTACATAACTATCAGTTTACCAGTAGAAGTTGCTGAAGTAATGCAGGATACTGATCTAAAATTTGAAATAAAAAACTCAGGAAATGAGAAGTCAATTTCCAGGAGTTACGAAGTTAATGATTTGTCAAATCTTGTAAGTACTTGGTTCTAAAACAGAGGAAATACTTGAAAATAGTAAGGAAAAAGTGGAAGTGTAAACAGAACTTAATTCTTTGCTGATTATAAGGAGAGATGAAAAGATGGTCACTTGCAGTTCTCAATCAATCTAAAAGATGAACCACATGGAAGAACAAGTGATTATCTTCTAATTTTTCCTCTAATGAATTAGTCTTGCAATGCTATCTTCACAAAAATTATAGACTTTTCATTTGCTTAAATGGAATTATGGCTGCACCTTGTGCATTTGTTACAACAATTGCTAGTAAAGGAAAAAGAATTCTAGATTTTGTATTAAGATGCCAGTAGCATCAATCTTAAACAAACCTTAACAAATAACAGGTTTGATATAACACACATAATCTTTCATAGGCTAGCACCCACTTGATCAGATGACACAAGTCATCCTTGGCTGGTGTATATACATTAAGCATAAGGCGGGAAAATAATATTCAACAGTGTAGCCAAGAGACCTTGAAATGCAGAGGGAATCAGAGACCTGTCACATTTCTGTTCAGAGCCCAAGGCAATAACAGAATGTTTTTGCTGTAAAGAACTAATAAAAAACACCTCTGAAATGTATTACCAAGTCACTAACTGAATTGGCTACAAAAAAGTTAGATAAAAGTTTCTTACATTTGACTTACAATTACAATGTCCAAATTGAAGGTCAGTATATCAGGAAGAGTTTTGGTCAACAGTTCAGCTTCAGATACACCATTAAAACGATCCACTTTTCTTTTGACTTTGAAAGTATCTGTGATTTTCTCTTGTTTGCCTTTTGATTTGGCGGACTTAGCAGCAGGTTTTTTAGGTTCAGAAGCTTTATTTTTTCTTTTCCTTCCTTTAACAGCTACTGAAAGAAAAAAGAAAATGACTTTATTGTATTGGTTTCTAATTGTAATGGCAGAGGAATATTAAACTAGCACTGTTGTGAAACTTAATTCGGAAATATTTTTCAAACTTGGCAAATGTCTATCAACTAGATTATTTATAAATATTTAGCAAAGTTTGAGAGATCATTTTTAACCACCACAACTGACCATTTTTTTCATCTTGTTAGTGACCTTGCATGAAGGGTAATGCCCTTTATTGTAACTGTGTGAGATCAATCTTGCATTTAATATTTACTTATAGCTATAGCAACCACTAATATTTATTTATTATATAAACCACTAATAAAAGCAGGTTATTGGTATGCCTTGTCCCAGGGCATTGAACCTGGCTCCCAGAACCTGCCTAGGCCTAATTTTCTAACAACAAAATATGTAAGTTTAGTTCCAGTCGCAATCTTTACAAAATAAATTCATCTAACTATAAATCACAAGTATTTTACTTGACCACTTAAGTAATACTACACTTGTTTATTGCCCTATGTGATGCTTCAGCAATAATACTAAAGACAATATCTATATTACAAACTAAAGAGAAATTTCTCTGAAACCAACTAGGCTGCCTCCTCCTATGCCAAAAAGCATAATTAAATATCATTCAGAGATGCATAACAATATTGTTACAAAAACTGTATGGAAGTTGGTGATCCACTATTATAATGGGGCCATGTTTGACGGAATAAGTTACATAATGAAAAACCTATGAAAGTCCTTTCTAAGCACAAAGACAAAGCAGGAGGCATGCAAGAAAGTTAACAGATGTAAAGCACAATCATCTGGTCTCCCAACTTTGTCTGAGAGACCACAGGATTATTCAGAGTATGAGGTCTTTTAAATACAGAGCCCCCATCCCACCCCCACCCCCAATATAGCCAGCTGCCTTTCCAAGGTCAGAAACAGGATTTAGAGAGGGTTATGGAGGGAAGGAGGCAAGGGCTTATGCTATATCCAAACAGTGCCCAAGCCTCCTTCCCCACATGCAGCATTTCACCTAATGAAGGACACAAGGCAGTGGAGATCGCTGCTGTAGCACTGGATAAATGTAAGCGTCCTTTACAGCACAATCCTGTGCACATATGAGAAATAAATTCAACTGAGTTCAACAGGGATTCTCCCTAGGCAAATAGCTATGTAACACTTGCCTTAAACAGGGCTGTCTTGATAATCTGACACAAAGGTAACACATATAGTGGTACCTTGGCTCACAAACGTAATCCATTCCAGGACTCTGGTCATGACCCAAATTGGTTGCGACCCAAGTTAAATTTCCCCATAATGTTCAATGTAAATAAGGTTAATCCGTTCTGTAACGAGTTTTTTAAATCAGAAAAATGTGAAGCAAAGTGACAAAGAACAACAAAGATTGCTGCCATCTCCCCGCCCCAGCATGACAAGAGATCGCACCTGTCATCCCTGCACACGCCCGTCATCCCGTCAGGGGGGTGGGGAGATGGTTGCGATCTTGGTCACCACCCAATGCAGAGTTCGCAACCCATGTCAAAATGTTCACGAAATTTTTGTTCACGACCCAATTTGGTCATGAACCAAGGTGTTTGTGAGTTGAGATACCACTGTATATAGACATCATGATGTAGAGAGATTATATGAGTTGTTTCCATAAAAAAAATCTGTTATCATATACCACAGAAACACAGAGCTAAACATGCACCATTCAAAAGTAATATTCACATAAATCACTACTTTATCAGAACATCAGAAAAATGTATAGATGCTTTTAGCTTGAGCTAACATAAGCCTCTCTAACCAGAATGTAGATCAAGTCTACTTTTTCACAGTGCCAACAGAACAAATCATGTTCAGATCAATAATACTGTCACTTCTAATACTGATTCTATCACAGTATTTTCAGAAATTCTACAAGCAAGACATTCTTGTTTCAAGGAAAAAATTGAGATACCTTGAACAGGTTCCTGAACAATATCTGGATCCAAAACTCCCTGGAGAGCTTCCTGTTCGTTCATCATCTCCATGTTTGGTGCTGCAGTCATCATTTCATGGAATGGAAATGAGTAAAATGCTGGCTGAAGAGGAGTGTAGTATCTTTAAACATAAGATGCAATAATTACAATTTTAAATTGTAAATTCAGGCCACGGATTCCTGTACTAATTGACATGAATTTCTACCAATGATTTGGTGGATTTCTCTTAGAGGTATTTGGCAACAGTGGTACGCTAATGTAATTCAATATATATTATATACATTCCTGCTCTCGTAGGATCACAGTCAATTGTCAACAGTTCCCCATCAACAGATTTACCTTGCTTTTTGTATGATTCTCACAGCCTACTTAAAAAGCAAAATAAGAGCAAGTGATCTATAAAGCTGCACTTCTTGTTTGCATGACTTCTGAGGACTATATACAATTTATAATTCTCACAATGTGGTATGATTCCTACAGCCCACTTAAAAAAACAAAATAAAATGATCTATATATAGCTGCATTTCTTATTTGCATGACATGTGAGGACTAAATACAGTTATGAATAAATTTGGACAAAAATGATGCAACAATTGACTTTTAACAAAATAAACACAGGGGTACAGCAACCTGATGCAGCATTAAAAAAGTAATAACTCTTCAAGCAGAGTGCCCTGGTATATGTAGAGCAGAGAGAGCTATTGATAACACTGAACAGAAAGGCAATTCATATTAGGATGTGAGGGAATGAAGGAAGGAAGGAAGGAAGGAAGGAAGGAAGGAAAAGTGCTTTCAAATTGTGGCTGGGAAGGGTGGCTACTTTCTATCCATGGTTCTCTACGTATGCCACATCTAGGTTTTACAGCATCTAAATGAAGCTGCTATTATTGTACTCATAGTTCTAGGTTCATAGTCACTTAAGCAAGTCTAACTGCAGAAAACTGTCTAAAATGTGGCATATCATTCATATTTCAAGATCTTGAATATGAAGCCTTGATTTCTAACTCTACAGAGTAACAGCAGGTAAAGCACATGCTTTGCATGCAGGTCACAGGTTCAAATCCTGAGAATTCTCCAGGTAAAGCTAGGAAGGAATCCTACCTGCAACCCTGCAAGCCAGCACCAGGCAATGTCAACAAAACTAGGCTCAACAGACCAATGACCCTCTGTCTGAGAATAAAGCAGTTTCCTATGAAGAAACCACAGGCAGCAAATCTCTCTTCAAAAGTGGCATTCCCTCGTACAAAAAAGAGGATCCAACACCTGTTCTAAGATGACACCTTCTGTAAACTGAAAAAACAGAAAAATACTATTTATTTTACAACTATTATCTTCTCTATACGCAGTTTAGAATAACTCTATATTGAGACTGCAACTCTACGCATACTACTCTGGCTTGAATGAGACTCACAGGTAAACGAGATTTATTGAACGGGGATGACAACCTCACAAGCCCGAATGCTAACACACACCCCCCCCCCCCCCCCCGAAGGAAGGCAGTCCTGTTCCATCCATCCATTCCGTGTGTGTATTTTGACACTTCTGTCATCGCTCCCCGCTCAGGTTTTTTTTTTTTCCGATGCAGAGCGCGTTATATTTTTAAATAAAAAACGCTGATTTTATTTTGTAGAAAGCACAAGCGGAAGACTGGGAACCGCACACATGCTACCCACGCCCGCCGGGCTCAGGCGCCGGCCCTTGGCGGCAGCCTTTTGTACTAGGCGCAGCCTCCATCACCGTCCAGAGCCTCGCAGGGGGCGCGACGGCCCTCGCGCGCTCTCCTGCCCCGCCCGCCCCGCGATTCCGAGCCCCTTCCCGGCGCAGCCTCGGCCTACTTCCACCTCCGTCCGCGCGGTACCTGGGGCCCTGCTCCTCGCCCTCCATTCCCAACTGCCAGCGGGAGCCCCGCTCACTCCGCCACCGAAGGCCTCACGAACTTCTCAGCAGCCAGAGCGAGGCGGACCCAGCCCCCGCCCTGCGCCCCTCGCGGCCCCGGCCCGGCCCCTCCCCCAATACCTTCTGCCGCCTCGTCGCTCACTCTCGCTCACGGCAAGCGGGACGCCGGCCGACAGAGATATGCAGAGCTAGAGTGGCATCCAGCACGAACCTCCGGCGACAGTAACTACTTTCTTCCTCCTCTTGGATGGACCTCACGGCCATGGGATGCGGGGGTGTTCAAATCTGGTTCGCGGATGCAGGACCAGAAAGTAACTTAGAGGGTTTCAAAAGCGGGTCAGAGAAAAAAGCTTCTCTTCAGGGAAGAGAGCGCTATCATTGGCTTGCTAGTCCTGGTGAAGTGCAACCTCCAGTCTCGGAGGCAAGATACTGGGATGCTCTAGTTGCTCTTGCCGTCAGGACCTGCTTGCTTGCATGCATAAGAGTAGGTTCAGAGTAAGTAACCGGATGCTGAATTAGATAGGCCTTTGGTCTGATTTGCACGGTTCGTCATACGTTCTTATCCCTTGATGGTTGGCTATACTGGCTGAGGCTGATGGGAGTTGAAATTCAAGACGTCCGAAGGGCACCTGATTGCTAATTTAAAAACAAACAAACTAGTTGCTAGAAAATCCATTTTCTTAAATTCGTGAAGGTATAATTAAAGAAAAACGCTTGTAAGGCTGGTCTTCAAAATACAAAACGAAGAACCTTTGGCAGAAAACACTGAAGAGGGTGAAAACTGGGAATGCTATCATGGAATAGCCTGCACACAGATCACGTTCAAATCGAGACCATCTAATATGTACTCGCTAAGTTTATCCTGGAGCAAAAGCCTGGGATGATGCGAGGCTTGGTCCATGAATATCTGGAGGTCCACAGACTGCTGAAGTCAGTGCTGAGGTTTTAGAGAAACAACTGGACTCAAAGCAGCTGCAGTCTGTGGTCATCTAGATGTTCATGAATTCTCATACTCTTGGCCATCGTAGCTGGGGTTGATGGGAGGCAGTGTCCAACAACTTCTGGAGAAAGACGTGCCGAGGCGTCCCCTATCTCTCTAACTTTTCCTCGATCGCACAATCCCATCCTCGCTAAACCCGCCTCGCTTGGTTGTACTATAGATAAAGCAAAAGTGGAGTCGCACCCATTTTGGCTGCCCGTATCCGTAGGGGCACACCTCGTGCTAGCGCTTACGACCTAAATTGAGCCAGGATTTCTATTTTTAACTGGCAGTGCCAAACACAGAGGAAACTTTCTCCGTACAGGAGTTGTATTGCCGGAACGAAGACAAGCAACAGCGATGTTCAGAGTTTGCCCTCGTTGCGTCTAGGTATCGCTCTAAATGTTTCCATATCTCTATGATGTTTTTACGCTCTTGAAAAGTGTGATGGAGGGAAAGGACGTCCTACCTCTGTCATCTGTGCTGGGCGAATTGCACAGGCGCTTTTCTTTTCCTCCTCCTCTACTGGTTCCTTGTCTGGCCAAAGAGAATCGTCCTCGCTCGTCCTTGGGGCGAGCGGCCTCTTCTGTAGGACTGCTATTTAATGCTGTGCTATCCGAAACTGCTGGCGGTAAGTGGGCAGTGGCAGCTCTGAATGACGTTAGCAAGCAGTCTAGCCTTGTGGAAGAAAACTCGGCTTGTTTTTCTGTAGGGAGGATCTGTTAAGATTCTCTTTTGGAGTTGTGGAAGGACACACGTATCTTCCTTGAGTAAGATACCTGCTTACCGCACTGGACGTATTCATTCGCCCTGCCTTGTATGATCTCGGGGTACAGGAATCCTAAGCTAATTTGCTTAAGAACGGGTGGACTCTCCCCTTTTCTGCCGCAGCAGTTGTAATTCATAACCTGCTAATATGTTTCTAATATGTAGAAACGTCCTAACGTGGCCAAGCGAACGAGCGATTCAGGAATTAAGTGATTTTTAAGCTCAGGGCTTGGCAACCTTGTTGTCTTCCAACTGCTTTGAACTATAGAATTTCCAGAACCTCTGATCAGGGGCCATCCTGGCTGGAAGGCATGGGAGCTGCTAACCAGAGACAACAGGTAGTCGACCCATGCCCAGTCTCTTACTTGATCTGAAACATGCTTACTCAGAATTAATTGTCAGTGATTTCAGGTTCCAAACTCATGGGTACAGGATTAATAAAGAGGTTCCCTAGATAATAGCCTTCCATCTTTGAGTTCCCCACATGCTAGTCTGCTGCAGCATCAACAAGAGTCTTAGCATCTTAAAACTGGCAGATTTAAGAGACAGAAAATCCTTTTCTCAAGACTTTGGTACAAAGGAATAAGGAAACATTTATACCAAAGGTATAAGGAAACATTTATGCCATCAATTTTGCCATTATATCCAATTAAAGATTTAGAAGGATTCCCAGTAAATTTGAAAGAAAGTTTGGGGAAAATACTGAAGAATAAATGAATCATTAAATTAAAAGATTGGCTGGGGGGAAATGAATAATAAGGAAGATAAAGGCAGCATTAAAGGGGGAAAGATAACTTGGTTTAATGTGATTAAGTTAGAATGGTTAAAGATAAAAGGTGCATGTGGAGATTATACTAAATTTGAAGATAGGATAGTAGAAAAGGAAAACAAGACAATACATGTGGATGAAAGGGATAATAAGCAAAATATGTAAGATACTGTTAGAAGAGGAGGATCAATACAATTCTTTTAAAGTGTCATGGGAAACAAATTTAAGGAGTATTAGTAATATAGAATGGGAAATATGTGGAATAAAATAATATGAAAGTGTATATCAGTAAGAATAAAGGATTTTTTATATAGATTAGTATGGAAGTGGTGCCTAACCCCAGTAAAATTGAATTATATGGATAGTAAATTTATGTTGGGATATGTGGCTGGGGAATGGGTATATATTTCCATATGTGGTGGAAATGTAAATATATACTGAAAATATACTGAGAGATTTTTAAAGAATTACTAAAATATTGAGTTTAAATATTAAAGTAAATCCTGACATTGCAATATTGTCAATATTTGATGGAAAATAATCTAGATGAAATACTAAAGAATTAATAAATCCATTAACAGCTGTTAGATTAATGATAGCAAATAATTGGAAAGTAAAATAAGGTTATCAATTGAGTGATTGGTATAGAGAAGTTTGGAATATAGCTGTTAACTTGTGATATTAAAGTAAAAGAAGGTCTGATATATAAGAATAGTTTTGATTATATTGGGGACTGTTTATTGAGTATGTGTTAATGAAAGGGAAAAGTTTTGAAGCTTTGCAAGATTCACTGTAGTTTTGGAAGGGGCATGGACACTTTTGACAGTGTAAATGATTTAACATGTGGTGGAATGCATTTTTTATTATGGGTTCACAATAATTTCAATTGTGTTTTTCCCCTCATTTTCTTTATTTGTATTGCGCATTTTTATGTATATTATGAATTTGATTGGTTTTATTATTAAGTGATTTAATAAAGTTTTTTTTAATTGGGAGATTTTTGTGGTAGAAGCTTTCTTGAGCTAGTCTGCTTTGTCAGATTGGAGACTCCATTGGTAATCCAGCCCCTAAGATCGTCAATAATCAGAACTGCTGCGATTCTACTTCTTTAGGGGGATTACTTGTATGATTTGGAGCAGTTCTTCTTGTTTGATCTCCCTTCTATAAAATCTGCAGTGAGGTTTATCATCATCCTTTTAAAAATAATTCTTCATTAAAATTCTTAGACATGTTTCTCAAAAAAAAAAAAGCAATTCAATACAACTTATGATAGAATTAAACAATTTAAAACAGCTATAACAAGTTATTCATTACGGGCACAATCTTACGGTCTCCCGACATTGATACATTGGAGTCCCAGTTTTAAGATCCCATGATTTCAGAGCTGGGGCTCTAAAGGTTGAGGCTGCACCCTACCCACTTTGCAGTTGACACAGAAAGAACCAGCCTGGCCACCTTCTCCTAGGTTGGAAATACACCTTGGAAAGGAAGGAAAAGTGGGTGTGCTAGCAGTGAGGTAGCAAATTTCTGCTGATCCCTATTGATGTCCCAGCCTCCTTTCTTCCCTCTGCCTGGTGCTTTACCAAGGCAGCTGAAATGACCATCTGTGTAAAAATCAAGGCTCTAGGTGTGGTGTTCGATATCTTTGCTGCTGCACTTGTTCAGAGCACGTGGTACATGCATTTGGAGTGATAGGGTTGTCCCCTGAAATAACTTTCAATGTATAGCAGGTGTGCTTGCCAGAATCCATCACTGCCTTTCTTTTGCAGTCACTTGCTATTCCATGTGAGTTGCTATGGGGCCACCAGAAGACCAGAAGATACATTTCCACCTAAGCTCAGTTATGACATCTTTCCCATCTAGGAGGTCAGATTCCCATTACTACAACTTTGTCCTTTTCTCTGTTTTTTTTCTCCAGCTGCTGACTCCCCTTGGCCATGCCTGCAGGAGTATCTTGGCCTCGCTACCTGAAAATGCTGACTGCCAGTATGTTGGCCATGTTCGCTGGTGCAGAAATTGTTCACAGATATTATAGACCTGATCTTGTAAGTTCCCCCTTGTATTTTTGATAAGATCTTATTCTATTTTTGATAAGATGGATTTCGATAAGATTGATTTCTTTTTGCTTCAGTAACAATCAACTGCTTCAGCCCTTTGTGGCACATGGCATAGCTCTGGGGAGCATATTCCCCTTTCCTTCTGGGATAACAGGCCTTTTAACTGTCCAGGTGCAGGGAGTCACTTGTTCAACCTTTGAACATGACCAGTTGAACAATGGCAGTTTCATTGTCCATTGTGTGAGCAGCTGAGTATTCTGTGCTGTCTCCCCTCCAGAATTCAACATCTTTGTCATCCAAAGGCAGAGAATGAAGACATAGTTTCATTCAGAATTTGGGAGTCCTACAGAATTGAATGGGGTTTCTTTCCATGGAAATGTGTATAAGAGTGTAGCATCTTATAGATATTAAACTTAGCATGTAGGTACATGGTACCCCCCAAAATCCTATTATTAAGAGTTCACAGTACAAATAGCTTAGACAAACAATATGTTTCAGTTAAAAAATTCCTGTCCTGTAGCCCTTAATTACATATTTCATATTGGATGGAGGTTTGTTTGTGGGGTGGTATAGAAATGAAAAGAAAGAATGAAGTAGCTAGTCTAGTTATGGATCCACTACCTGGAAGAATTTCCAGGAAGTGTTACATTGAAATGTAGTTGTAAATCCAAATATTAAGTTTGTAGCTGTCGGTAATGATGTAATGTATCTGTCTGTTCTTTTGTAGTCAATACCTGAAATTCCCCCCAAGCCTGGAGAACTCAGAACAGAGCTCTTGGGTCTCAAGAAAGAAAATCAACAAGTTCAACCTTCACAACAGTGACTGTACACAAGAAAGTTTTTGTATTCCTTCATCAATTGCTCTTTAATATCTATAATTCAACTTAAACAACTGGACAATGTTGTTTGAATACAAGGGAAATTACCAGCTGTTGTGTATTTTTTTTCCTGAAGGGTCAAAATGTAACTTCTACAGTCTGTTCCTTTTACCATTTACAAAAACAATTGCCACCACAACTCTGACTCATTTGGCTCTATATACACCTGCTACGGTGGCTTTCAGGATGTGGCACAAGACAACAGCGGCTGCCTATTTCCACCTTTTTCTTTAAAAGGTTTGTGCTGTCCTGATGTGTTATTTACACTTGTTTTTTGGCTGAGAACCCCATCTGGGTCAGGCAGGAAGCCTCCTCATTGGGTGCCAGGGGATGGCTGGGAACTGCAGGACTTCTGTCTAACCACGTACATGATTGCTCCCTTAGGGAACATGCTTCAGAGAGCCTTCATTTCCAACTCCAAGGTTGGAGACCACACTCTGACCTTGAGGTTTGGAATTAAAACTGTTCCCCTTCTGACTGTTGCCAGTACCGGAAAAGTATTGGCTGCTCTCTCTAGGGCAGGGGTCCTCAAACTTTTTCTAAAAGGGGCCAGTGGACAGGGGCCAGTGGTGGGCGCGCATGCGTGCATGCGAGGTGAAGCAGGGGGTCATGCGGGGCGAGGCGCTGGCTTGCTCACAAGGAGATCATTTTCTCTGCGTTAGTCCAAAACAACCTCCTCATGAGCAAGCCGCATGCGCAAGTGCAAAACCTGTGGGGCTGGCCGGTTAAATGGGCATGGCAGGCCAGATCCAGCCCACAGGCCTTAGTTTGAGGACCCATGCTCTAGGGAATAGGAAGAGGAAGCATTTTGTGGGGCAGAGAAATTAGGGCGAACAGGATATGAGGTATCCTGTCCCTTCTCCAGTCTCTTTTCCTTGTCACTGAGATATTCCAGCTAGATTTGCAAAAACACTCATTAAGTGAAAAGTGCTGCCTGCCACTCAAGGTCATAATGGGGCACACCAGGAGGCAGAGAGGTTGGGACTGACAGCTTGTGCCCTTGCGTCCTTGCCGGCACCTCATTTAGATGGTTGAAAATGGCTGTGCAAAAGAAATGCAGGGCATGAAGCACAGCAGTGGTTGGAGGCTTACATGCATCACAAGTTGGGGTGATTAGATTGTACCCTCAGTGCATGAACTTCCGTGCTAGAAAGTTGCAATTTTTGTGGTACTTTCTATAGTTAGGTTAGTGTAAGATGAATCAATTAAACACACTTTTGGATTCTTATAGAAGTGTCTCGCATCATTATAGGAGTTGATACCAACTTCTGCTTTCTGCAGAGCAGTGATCTGTCTCTTGAAGTAACAGCCTCACTGATGAATCTGCAGTTGACCTTGCAGATGGTTCAGAATAAGCAGGTTGCTTACCTGTAACTGGTGTTCTTTGAGTGGCCATCTGTGCATCAGACATATGGGTGCTGCGCCTGCGCAGTGCCTAGGCTGGAAGATTAGAAAGCCAACAGTTTTTGGCTGGAAAAAGCTCCGCTCCCCTCCCCCCACAGTATAAATAGAGCGGAGTGTCCGCCATTTTACTCAGTCTGGAAGACCGACGTTCACCCCCTAGCAGTCAATGACAGTACCACAACAAGCAACATCAGTACCGCAAGATTAGTACGGAACCGATAGAAAAAGAACAAGTCCACTCACCGACACCATTCGGGGCCGGCAGGTGGGTTGGGTGAATGCACAGATGGCCACTCGAAGAACATCAGTTACAGGTAAGCAACCTGCTTTTCTTCGTCGTGGCCTCTGTGCATCACACATATGGGTGATTAGCAAGCTTACCAGACTCGGAGGAGGGAAGTGTCGTCACTGAAGAATGGCAGAGAGCACTGCTCTGCCAAAGGAACAGTCCTGTCTGGTGCGCACATCAAGCCTATAATGCTTGGTGAAAGTACACGGAGCAGCCCAGGTTGCAGCTCTGCAAATATCTTGAATTGGAACACCTGCCACAAAAGCCGACGAAGTCGCTACTGCTCGCGTAGAATGGCCTCTCGGAAGTGTAGGTAAGTCCATTCTTGCCAACTGGTAGGCCAACACTATGGTCTGTACAATCCATTTAGATAATCGCTGAGATGAGACTGGAGCACCTTTGTCATTATCAGCATATTTAACGAAAAGTCTGTTAGAATTCCGAAAGGATTCTGTGTGAGATCTGTAAAAGGCAAGGCAGTGCCGAACATCAAGTGTGTGAAGAGAGTGTTCAATCGGAGTCGATGGAGACGGGAAGAATGCAGGCAAGACGATATCCTGATTCAAATGAAACGATGTTGCCACCTTAGGAAGAAATGCTGAGTCCATTTGAAGAACCACCTTTTCTTTGTGAAAATTCAAAAATGGTGGGTCTATGTGTAGAGTACAAAGTTCATTGGCCCTTCTGGCTGAAGTAACCGCAACACGGAAGAGGCAGTTTCCCATGATACTAGATGTAGATCCATCGTTGCCAGAGGTTCAAACGGTGGCTTTGTTAGCGCTTGGAGTACAACAGAAAGACTCCAAGTCAGCATGACCAGGCGAATTGACGGGTGTAAATTTTGTAGTCCTTTAAGAAAATGATGAATCAGAGGTTGAGAAAAAACCGATGAGCCTTGTATGGTACCACGGAAATGTGAGATGGCAGCTGTGTAAACCTTTATAGATGAAGGCTTAAGTCCCAAACGGTGAAGTTCAAACAGAAATTGTATAATGTTCTTAATAGATGCCGATTCTGGGGAAAAAGAATGACGGCCAGCAAAGGAGGAAAATCTTTTCCATTTTGCTGAGTAAGATCGACGTGTGGAAGGTCTTAGCGCAGATTCGAGAATCGTCTGGATATCAGGATGTAAAAACGTCAGTCTCAAGACGGTTTCTGTCGATCCCGAAGGGGGAGTCAGTCGGGTACGCAGTTGAGAGGATTCCGTGGATCGAGATGGTAACGGAACTGATAGACCAAATCTAGCGAATGCTCCACATTGTCAGTTTGAGCAAAGCTAGGTCTGGGTGCCGGATTGCTCCGTTGCACTGTGTGAGCAAGTGAGGGACCGGTGGAAGTCGACGGAAAACACCTTTGGACTGAATGAGGAGAGCAGTGAACCAGGGTTGCCTCGGCCACCATGGGGCTATCAAAATTCCTGTAGCATTGTCCTGAACAATCTTCAATACCACCTTCATCAGAAGGGGAATCGGAGGAAATGCGTAGAAAAACAGGTTGCTTCAATCAATCATGAGGGCATCTCCCCTAGAGGCCTGTCCGATATCCGCTCTGGAGCAAAACAGTTTGCGTACCCTTTTTTTCGGGTAGCGAACAAGTCTATGTCTGGGTACCCCCCCCCCCCAACTGGAATAGTTCGTTGCAAATCATCCAGTCCAACTCCCACTCATGGGTCATTGACATCCGCCTGCTCAGTGTATTCGCTTCTACTTTGTTGGTCCCCGCAAGGTGTACCGCCAGTAGCATTATGTCCCTTGGGATGCACCAATCCCAGATCTGCATTGACAATCGGGCCAAGAGCGGAGACTTCATTCCGCCTTGGTTGTTGACGTAGAAGACAGCAGCTATGTTGTCGGACGCAATCTGCACAACTTGGCTGTGTATAACAGTTTCGAAAGATTTGAGAGCGCTGAAAATTGCTAGAAGCTTGAGGAAATTGATGTGCCTCCCCACTTCTTGTCAGTTCCAAGCCCCTTGGACCCGAAGTCCTGCACATGCCGCACCCCATCCGATGAGGGACACATCGGTGTACAATGTCACAGTTGGTTGGGGCTGATGGAACGGAATGCCTGTAAATAGGTTGCGTGTAACAGTCCACCATGTCAGGGAGTGAACAATCAAGGATGGGATCTGAAGAAGCTTGGTTTGTAAATCCCATTGCGGGTGAAACGATTTGTTGAAGAACAATTGAAGTGGCCGAAGTCTGAGTCTTGTGTGAGGCACAATGGCCACTGAGGCCGCCATGTGCCCCAGCAGTCTTTGTATAGTGACGGCTTGCATTGTCCTCAGTCGTCGGTTCTGATGGATGTGGGCACACAGCGTGGCTCCACGGGATGGAGGAAGAAACGCTCTTTGTAGAATGGAGTCGATACGTGCCCTGATGAAATCGATGACCTGTGTTGGGATAAGTGACGATTTCTTAAAATTAATGCATAGTCCAAGGTCATCAAGCAAAGTACAAGTCGTATGGACAGCCGCAAGGAGGTTGTCTTTAGTCTGTGACACAATGAGCCAATCATCTAAATAGGGGTAGACTTGTATACCCCGAAGCCGTAGGTGAGCGCATACTGGGCCATGCATTTTGTAAAAACTCTTGGTGCCATAGCTAGACTGAACGGGAGTACATTGAATTCGAAAATATCGGATCCAACAGTAAAACACAGGAAGTGTCTATGGGAAGGATGGATAGAGATATGAAAATAAGCATCCTTCAGGTCCAATGAGGTGAACCAATCCCTTTTTCAGCAACGGAAGGATATTCTGTAAGGTGGTCATCTGGAACTTTTTTGGTTTAATGTATCTATTGACATTCCTCAGATGCAGGATAGGTCAAAGACCACCGTCCCGTTTGGGGACCGTAAAATATTGAGAATAGAATCTGTGAAGCCCATCGGTGCAAGAGAGTTGTCAAACCGCACCTTTATGAAGAAGTTGGTAGACCTCATCGCACAAAACCGAAGGTGGTGGCGTAAATCGGATAAGGTTCGACGGTGGAACAATGTCAAATTCTATTCTATATCCGAGCTGAATGATGGACAACACCCACCTATCAGATGTAATGGACTCCCAAATGGGGAGTCGGCTTTGAAGCCGGCTCCCAAAAGGGAGAGGGGAAGGTGGGAGGTGGAAAGATGAATTGGTTCACTGGGACTGTCAATGAGGGCGTTTTTCGGAGTTGAAGCGCCGATGGCCCTGAGAGAAGCGCTGTTGGGGCTGTTGCCTTCTACACTGCTGCCTCTGTTGATATTGTTGGCGAGGTTGATACTGCTGGCATCCATAAGGCCTGGACCATGACCACTTATATTTGGTTTGTGGGAGTTCCATGTGACGCGCTGTCATGCGGGATTCGTGGATGGCTTTGAGTTTTCGATTGGTCTTCGCGTGGAAGAGGCCAGTGCCATCGAATGGCATTTCCTCTATCCTCCTCTTCATTTCCTCAGGAAAGTTACAATTCCTGAGCCACGCATGTCATCGCAGGGAAATATCACTGACCATGGCCCAAGAGTCAGTGTCCACATGATGTCTTGCGGTGGACAACTGCTGTATGGCCACCTGCACCGCCTCTTTTATAAAAACCCTGGGTAGGTCTGTCTGTTTGTCTGGGAGGGAGGAGGTGATGTTATCCAGCTTCTGCATTATGAAGCACTGGTAACGTGCCAGAGTAGCTTCGTAATTTGATATGCGCATGCCGAGTCCTGCAGCCGCTTAGACCTGACATGCAATCATATCGACTTTCCTCCCTTCTTTATCTCGGGGTGTTGTATGGCCCCGAGCCTCCCTGCCCTGGGACGGCTCGACCACCATAGAGTTGGGCTTAGGGTGGCGCAGCAAGAATGGAATATCTTCCTCTCTGACCTGGTACATAGACTTGCAGTGATAAGACGTCGCTTGCGGTTGTGCCGGTTGGTCCCAGGGCTGGACCATTGCCTGGCGGAGCGTGGTAATAAGAGGCAAGGCAATGGTTGTGGACTGCTCCCCCCAGACGATATCGTAAAATTGGTCAGTGCTAGGGCCGGGGCAATGGTAGGCCTCTATTTCCAGCAACCGAACCAGACGAGAAACAAGTTCCGAGAAGGAAACATGGGGCTCGTCCGGGGATCCGGGGTCTTGGGAAGTGATGGCCACATCCGGGGACGTGGAGTCTACTTCCGACTCGTCTGAGTCCTGTTGGTAGCGGTAGTGTTCGCTAGACGAGGAGGTCTCGGGAGAAGGTGGAGGTCTCCATTCCGTACGGCCGGACGTGGACGGCACCTCTCTCGGGATCAATGGCGAACGACGGTCCCGAGGGTAGTAAGCATAGGGTGGATATTCACTCCAGCCTGGGAAGCTGCCATAGCCGGGCATAGGCCAATCATCCCCCTGACATTCCAATGAGTGGCTCCTACGCCTAGGCGGCGACTATGTTCCCTCAGGTGGCCCAGCAGTAGGCATCAGAGTCGGAGCACATTGCGTCGGTGGGGAATCTCTGATTTCTCCATCGGAGATGGACTCCCTAAGTGGTGGCTCCGGTGGGGGACACGCTCTCAGGCTGAACCACAGGCCTGGGGGATCCCGGCGGAGTCACCTGCATTGCCAATTGCAGGGTCGGTCCCGAGGGAGTTGGTACCGTAGCGGCGGTCGGTACAGAGAACCCTGACGAAACCGAGCCCTGATGTTTGGGGCGGTTGAGTTTCTTGCCCTTACGGGCCGCCTTAGCTGCCTTATCTTTCCTCGGCTTCTTGTGCCCAGAGGATTTATCTGAATGTTTACGCTTCTCCTTTAGTTTAGCTGGAGAAGGTAGCTGTTGCGCTTGTCGAAGCAGTGCCTTTGTCCGAAGGATGCTGCGGTGGCGCGGCCGATGTTGAGGCGGGGCACTTAAGAAGGCGCGGCTGAAGCAGAGGTGGAGCGCTGCGGTGGTACAACCGAGGAAGGGGTAGGCCTTGGAACCAACTGGTCTGATTGGAGCAAGACCTGATCCCAAAGCAACTTTCAGAGATGATTTTCCCTGGCCTGTTTAGTAAAGGCCAGGTAATGCTTGCACTTGTTGGTCCTATGCCCCTTGCAGAGGCAGAGGAGGCATAAGTCATGCGGGTCGGCGGGAGACATTTTGGAGCTGCACTCACTGCACTTGCGGAATGCCGCCCACTGTGCCATCGCGAAAAAGAAGAAAGAGATGATAGTACAAAGGGTAAGAATAATATTTTTGGTTTTTTTTTCAGAGGATAGAAGAAAAAATTACAATGAGGAAGAAAAGAAAGAACTGGGAATATAACAAGGAACGAGGTAAGTAGAACAAGGTATAACCATTAGGAGCACAAGGCGAAAATCTAAGCGAGAGACAAACAGGCACGAGGCAGTGAATGGCGGTCACAAAGACTGAGTAAAATGGCGGACGCTCCGCTCTATTTATACTGTGGGGGGAGGGGAGCAGAGCTTTTTCCCGCCAAAAACCGTTAGCTTTCTAATCTTCCGGCCTAGGCACTGCACAGGCGCAGCACCCATGTGTGATGCACAGAGGGCACGACAAAGAACAATAGCTTACACAAAATGTAGCAACTGTAATGTGGAAAGTTTGCTCTAATGCATATTGGTTGAACTTACTACTGATGTGATTTTTCGTCAAAGGTACCGTCAGCCATTAGGTGGTATTACTTTCGTACTTTTTGATCTAAAATGGACTTTACTTCCTCTCAGTTAAAATCTAAAGGCTCTCATATCTTTGCATATAACATCTGCTAAAACAAACATTTGTTGATTTCTCATATCAATGCTTGTCCAGCTAAAATTTTGCCCTTATCTGTGGAAAAATTCCTGTGACAGCTTCAAACTGTTTAGAATACTATTTCTGCCCAATTGTATCTCATATCAATTAGTCATATTTTAATATGCTGAATTGTATTCAAGTGTCCATCTATAAATTTAATTTTCCTTTCTGTGTGTTCTCAACATCTGCTTCAAAGGCTCAGAGAAGTAAAAGGAAGAAAACTTCTGTTGTGTAAGTTCGAGTCCACCTATGTAATTTAAGTCTTATTAAACTTGTAGCTCGCTTTCATACAAGAACCAGGGAAAGTAGTAGTACCTTTTAAATTACCCTCCTGCATAAAGCTTTTTATAAATTTGGCAATGAAATTTAAATGTTTGCTCTTGGAAGACAGAAGTGCAGTAAAACTTAGTACTGAAACTTCAAGTAGACAGGTTTTGTTTATTCATAAGCCAAGCAGTAGTGCCCTAGCATTGTACAAGCTATAAGGAAGTTAAACTAGATATCAAGACAAAGGCATGAGAATTAGTACAGGAAAATGTCCATTATGACGTGGGTCAAGTTATTACTTGCAGACATTTGCGGAACAGCACCACTTGCCTATTTTTCTCTCCTGCTTTAATATTTTTCTCACCCTTGTTTCATTCAGGATACTCAGAACACCAGCATCCATCCAAATTGTATTTTTTTAACAAGCTTCTAAAGTAGTTTACACTGAAGGCGAGAAACTGGCTTACAGCTAAATCAGTGAACCTGTCCCTCTTCAGTTCATTTCTGCCTCAGTACCTTTAAGATTAGCATAACATGCTATTAGTAAGGCAAGGTATGCAAATTGCACTGCAACACTTTTATATGCTCCATGTGTGTGTGCAGCCAAGGATAGTGTGTGGGAAGAACTGTATGCATATGCTTATCCTTTGGTAACAAATATGGTTTAATTTATCTCAAAGAGTTCTACCAGAGAATTGCTGCTTCTTGGTATCCCTACTAACACCACTAATCATACAAAGGGAAAATACCAGCGTTAACTTTGAATTGAATAGCATGGGAACAAAGTGTGTTAGAATTTAACAAAACAGATTTGTTCAGACACAAAGGGCAATCTTCTACATAAGGTGGGGTGCAACCACTGGCCCACTGTGTGTGCCCTGCGCATCACATCTCCCCACTGGTACACTGGCCATACAGGGCCTCTGAAAAGTCATTCTATCTGCCTGTTTCACAGCAAAACTGCTAGGTGGAGAGGTTAAAACTTCCCCATCACAGCACTAATTTCAGTCATCTCATGATCACTAGGAGGAAAGCAAGATTAAAATTTCTCAGCAATTCTTGGGGGTGGGGAAATGCGAGCAGGGCTCCTACCTTTCCATCCAACATTACTTACAGCCCTTGAAAGTGATGCACCCATCTTACATGAATTAGAAACACAAAATAAGTTTTCAGCAAACTTGCTCCCAAGATTAAAACTAGAATAAATGTTAAATTCTATAAACTCAGAAATGGCTAATGCAAGCAAGAATTCGCAACTGTAAGCAAATATTGATAGCTTTCCATTCCCAAATGTGTTTTTTTTTAAACTGTGAGGACAACTTGAGGTTCTAGGCGACTAGGAATTTTAAATAGAAACATGACTCAGTCATGCAAGTTGCTATGAGTACTGTCAACCAAAGAGTGGGATGTAAGTTAAGGGTAGCTGCTTTAAAGTAGCTATTGTAAAGTAAGAATTTCCCTTTTCAGTTTTTCAATTGTTTCTTCTACTAACAAAATATTGAGCTAGTTGAGCTAGCAAACTGATTTGATTACTTCTAAGTAAATAAGTACTTCAATGTCTCATACAGCAATTGGTGTGAACACTTTAATTTTGTACACATGACAAGATTTTACACCAAATAGTCAGTTAAATAGTACAAATTTACATTGTGAGGAATGTTTAAAAAATGCAACTTAAAAAAATCCTCTTCTGCCCATAACCCAAAGCCTCCCCCCAAACATTTTACAGTGAAAAAAACACAAATTTAGTTCACATTCCTGCTTCATCCCAGACACAGGAGATTATGAGTGCATTTTACAATTCATCTTTTACATCTGTCGACTCCTGCAAGAGATAAAGACAGGATTACTGAATGTCCGGTAACAATAGGATTTAACTCTCTACAAAGAAATTCTGGGAAGGACTCTTAAGTCAAATATTTTTATGCTTGATGGTGAATAGGGATGAAAATAAGACACTATGTTTATATTACTTTTGCTTGCTGGAACAACTTAAGGGATACAGTTCTCATCAGCTAAATGTAACTATACCAAAAGATTTTTATCTTACACTGACAACTGCTCTTGTAGGTAGAGTCACATGATTTTGGGGAAAGGGGGAAAATAGAAGGAAAAAAAAGCTGAGAATTCTAATCTTTATGGATGTTAAGATCTGGTTTCCTTTGAATATAAACACTGATGTGTTTAGAATCTACATCTTGCTCCTAAAAGCAGTTCTCTAAATCGCTAAAAATACTGGGTCAAAAGCAGACTGGCAGGAGGGAAGAGACTCCACCCATTTATACGAGGGGGAGGGGGAGTGGAGTTTCCACCAAAAACTGTTATAGCTGAATCTTCCCGAAAATAGGGACTCCGCAGGTACAGCCCCCATATGCGTGATGCACAGACCACGACAGAGAAATAAAAATACTGGACCAATGCTAAGAACCAGGATTTAAGTTTCTCCAGTAATTTCAATGTGAAATAGGCCTTTACATCAGAGCCTTCCCCAACCCAACACCGAGATATTTCTCACTTCAACTCCCGTTTGCCAGCATCATTAACAGTGAAGAATACTAGGCATTGTAGTTCACAGCATCTGGGGGAAGCTTATGTCAAAAACTGCAGATGCAATAGAAATTAGTTCAATTTTAATACGGTTTCTGCCCTCTATTTTAGAAATAGATTCCTTAAGTTCATCTGAGGTCCAATGTGATTTTAGTTATGTTTATCTTGTGGTTTGCCGACTCAAGAGTGGTCAAAAAAGCTTAATCTGTGCTCAGACATGCTAAGCAACTTTCCCCACTCTTCTGTTCAACTGTACAAACCTTTTTCTCTGTTTCTGTATCGTCAACATCTTCAACATCTTCATCAGCTTCAACTTCTTCTTGTTCTACCTCTTCAACAGTTTCTTCTGGTTCTTCAGGCTCCTCTTCCACCTTTCAGAAATCATGTACTTAGTGAAAGACTTCCACACCAAAAACCTCTTTATCATATGATAAACTTGCATCAATATTAGGTATAATTAAGATACTGAGGACAATGCAGGATTCCTAATTTAGACTGACATCTAAATACTCGCAGGATTCAGATGGAAGTCAGGCCCAGAACTGCAGCATTCCCTGGCCAACCATGCTGTGCAGAATACCAAGAACTGAATGCTTTTTTCTGTCTAGATGTGCACAGAACTATATGCTATGGTGTCATTTTAAGGAACAAGTTATCAAATGTGTGCACTAACTCAACTAGATTTCAAGGAACATCACTGGCAACAAAGATTTTTCCTGGACCAATGATCCGCCCCCTCATTCTACCGGGATAGGAGCAGCTGTACTGTTTTATGTATTCTAAGTGAATGCATTTCCAGGGTTAGAAAAAGCAAATATAGACAAAGTTTAACTGGAACTGAGTATTTCCAGTTCATCAATTCTAATACAGCTCTTCCTTTCTGTAAGGAAAAGAGTTATAACACTTGCGGCCTACTATAATAGCACTTTCTTAGCTTTAACATTTGACCAAATTAAGTTATGTTCCAGGGATCCTTATGTTAAGTTAGTTGCAAAAAAGTTCAAGTACTGCGAAGTGCTTTTAGAATAGAGACCTACTTAAGCTTTAAGCACAAGTCCTAGTTTGAGGGACAATACATCATGCCTGATGTTTTGACTAACCTTTTCCTCTGGGTCAATATTCAGACTCAGACGAAGCATTCTTTCTATCCTTTTTTCATATTCCTTTGTATCTGCAAGAATATAGCCAGACCTAAGAGTAGCAGTCTCTAACAGAACTACTGCAAGATCTGCAACTGTTTGATCATCTTCATTTTCCTATTTTAAAAAAAGAAAACACAGGAATTAATAAAAATATTTACAGAATTGCAATTGGACTGGTATACAATTAGTCCAGCAAGTTGCAGCAATGTGTTCTCAGCATTTAGTACTGTGAGAAGACAATCTTGTTTTAATACAGTTTTAAGTCTGAAATTATCTTACCTGAACACGCCTGAGCATGTCTTTTATGATAGGATGTCTAGGGTTGATTTCAAATGTCTTCTTTTGGCTTGCATAGAAACTACAAGGGGGAAAATGAATATTTAAAGGCAACTAAACAAACATTATGGCATTCAACAGCAATATATTCTACATCAAAGAGGACCAATAGTTTGGCAAGTCATTGATTTCAGGCAAAAGCAGAACTGCAGTTAATTGGATGACATATTGTGAAGTGCTATTTAGCATAAAACTTTGAAAGTATAGTTCCATCATTACCAAATTTTCATAGAATTATATCCAGTGTCTGTCCACCAGGAGAATACACACTGTTAACAGAATGGATTTTACTCCTTTAATAGCCCCGCTACTGTCAAGTCTAAAGTAAGTTAGGACCCACAAACAGTTCTGGAGACTGCAGGGTTACAGAGGCAAAACAAGTAGTCCAATTTTTCTACTCATGCAACACTGAATGGAACTCTAAATATAGAGTTTAATATTAAAATTGAAATTATTCTTCAATACAAAGAGTTTCTAAGCATTTTGTATCGGGTAGAACTACTTTGTAATATTTGGTTATATCTCGATTAAAAACCTCCGACAACCCCACTCCCCATTCATATTGATTCTGTGCAGAAATAATCAATGTTTTTGTAGGCAGAACAACCAGGGACATGTACTTGGACTGCTTTCCTGTGTCATGAGCCTACATAAACAAAAGCCTAGTCTAGTTAACACTTGTATTTTGTATTCTTTAGTCTAAGAAAGGACAGGAACTGAAACAGGTTCCAACTATATTTCTTTATCCAGTAAAGTCAGCACCAGACTATTTCCAATACATTTTAAAAAACCTTTAAGATAAGCATGCATAAATCTAAATATTTATTAACTTAGAGAACTTCTGTGCCGCTCCATTCGCTGAAGCCTCGGGGCAGCTCACAATCATACATAAATATAAAATATAATTTAACAGTATAATTTAAGTTGCCCTGGCCAAAGAATAAAATAAATATTAACAATTAAAATGTTTGAATAAAAATGTTAATAGTAATAGTATACTTCAAGTAGCTACTTGTGAAAAACTAATGCCTTACTTTGTAGAGATGTCTTTGCCAGTCTGGTAAGCCTGAGCTTTCATGATCCTTTCCATGTTGCCTGACCACCCATATTGACTAGCCACAAGAGCACAAGGAGACTGAGTTAACCGCTGTGACAACACTGCTTTTTCAATCTAAAACAGAAAAAACACTATTGTAAGGGTCAAGCACAGGAATAAGCAGTACTGGAGAACATTCCGTTCCTCAGAATGTGCATACCATATCTTTTAGAGCTTTATCCTTCATCCAATTTAGAAGGGGTTCATATTCTTTTTCTAAAGCTTCACGGGCTTCCTTTGATTTTTCACTTTCATCAAATTTAACTCCTTCCTTAGCAACATTTTGGAATCTCTTGTTATCAAACTCTGGGAGAGCCTGGATGCAATATTCATCCACAGGTTCCGTCAAATAGATTACTTCATAACCCTTCTTCAGAAGCCGTTCTACAAATGGTGAAGATTCAGCCTAGAAAGCAAGTTCAAAACGTGAGTACAACACAATACTTGTCAGTATTTTGGAATCCTGCAGTATCATATTTTTCCGTCTATAAAATTCCCCCATGTATAGGACGTCCCCCACTTTTCCTACTCATCTCCAGTGAACAAGCAGATGCCACCACCTGCGGTGCCTTGCCACCCCCCCCCCCAGCACGACCACAGCCCCCCATGTAGAAGACACTTCATTTTTAAGTACATGTTTAAGAAAAAGTAGCATCTTATACATGGAAAAATACAGTAGTATTACTACTCACAATTGTATTCAGCTTCAACAGGGTACTAGCTTTTTTTAACAGTTATAATTTTAATTTCACAGAAACAGAATAAAAAGATGAATTCAAACACATCCATTTTTTACCTCCTTTCTGCTTGAGCCTGCCATGAAATAAATTTTGTCTTGTTTCTCCTTCATTCTTTCAACATATTGGTCTAGACTAGTAAGGTTGCTTTCATGGTGGGAAGACTGAAAACGAAGCAGTTTAGCTAGACGAGTACGATTTGAATGATCCTCAATTACTCCAAGTTTGATGTTTGTGCCAAATTCCTTCCAGAATGTGTCATTGTACTGTTCCTCAGCAATCTTTTTAATCATATCAAGTGTTTTGCGGACAAGTTTCTTTCTGATAACCTAAAAATACAAGAGAGAAATGCCAGTAAGCACAATTGCATTTGACAATATTTAGAACACCGAGTACTGAGAAAATTAAGATAACAAGTTACAGTGTAAGTTACAATGAATATATTCCCATGCCTACTTGCCTCACACTAGCATGTCAAAAGGCCTTAAAATATACTGCTTTGCCCAGCCTGAAAAAGAATCAATATTCTTCTTTGTCGCTAATCCTGCATTACGAGAACCTGAAATAAGCTGGTAGCTGGACTATTATGAGGAACTGCCCTTATTCTGTTCCTTTCACTTACATAATGCTCTACCCTTCAGATAGTCTTTGACCCTTTGAGGGAGAGGCTTCACATTCCCACCTTATTTTTAGGTATTGTTTGTTCTAAACCCCATGCTATAGAGAACTGTACTAAAATAATCCCAGAAAATTCTAGTTAAAGTTGAGCTTAAACAGTAACCAACATACCTTTAATAGTTTGTGCTGCTGAAGAGTCTCACGAGATACATTTAGAGGAAGATCATCTGAATCTACCTACAATTAGAAAAATAACTTTGAGGCTTAATTCTTAAAAAAAAAGGCAATTTAGACATTGAATGATATCCCTGAAGCTACTTACAACGCCCTTGACAAAGTTCAGGTATTTGGGCATCATGTCATGGAAATCATCTGTGATGAACACTCTCCGGACATACAACTGTAAGACAATAAAATAGTTAACAGTATTCCTGCAAGCCTTATGGTATACACATGCACCAAGGTGCCTTACTTACCTTAATAAAGTCACTCTTTTTAGATCCATATTCATCAAATAAACCACGTGGAGCAGTGGTGGGAACAAACAAGATGGATTTGAATGTCACTTCTCCCTCAGCAGTAAAATGAATGTAAGTCATCGGATCATCAGACTCCTGCAGAAAAATGGATAATCAGTCATCACTTACAAGAAAAGAAATAACTTTTAAATGCATGGAGTTAATACCTCCCTCACTTCAGTCAGGATCATGGACATTTACCACATACTAGTCTCCAGCATGCAGATTATTTGAGGAGGTTAAAGGCATGCAGTATTTACGGCCATGGTTTAACTGATGGATGTTTTGTCCTCAACCCTGTTAACACTGTAGACTGATGGCAGTATCTCAGCTGTAGTCCCAAAATAAAAAAAACAAGCTCACCTTAGAAAAGGATTTGTAGAAAGCCTTGTATTCACTTTCTTCTACTTCTTTAGATGGTCTCTGCCAAATTGGCTTGATGTCATTCATAAGCTCCCAATCCCAGACAGTCTTCTCAACCTGAAAAAAATATTTGCAGAATAATTCATTCACAACTCATTTTGAATCTTTCCCCCACCACTACAGCAGGAATCAAGTAACGCTGCAGTGAGGGCAACACAAGGAATTGTGTGACAACAAAAAGCTAACAGCATGTAGGGGTCAACCCACAGATACAGTTGCGTACTGTTAAGTTCAGATATTCCATTCTTCCCCAATTTTCTGCCTCCCCTGCTTACTCCAACAGCCAGCTATCCAGTGTATACTCCCAGACTTCACTGGGTCTGTTTTGAAGAGGTCTTAAGCTCTCTCTGCTTCTACAAACCTTGGGTTTTCTTAAGTCTGACATGGTCTTTATGCAGCCAGAATGCACCATTTACACACAGGAGGGAGACAAAGACTTGGAAAACTGAGATCACTATTTACAATGATTAGTCACTGGTATATAAATATAACAAATCTAGTGATATACCATTCTCATCTGGACAGATTTACTGAATCCTTCAGTCTAACAAGCTGCTGATTGTAAGTTAAGAGTTTAACTACACAGGCCACTTTAAAAAGTGAAGGAATCTTGCCATTTTAGTTTTTGGTTTCTTCTCTTCTTCTTCTTCCACTGCAGCTTCTTCATCTGTATCTTCCTTGTCTTTTACTTCTTCATCCTCAATAGGTTCTTCTACAGTTTCAGTCTGCAGAAAAAACACAAATTGACCCCAAATATTTGTTAGAAGAATCCAGTTAAGTATACGCTTTGCAAGTATTCCCATGAAATCCATCATAAAAACTTTAAGTTTTAACTGAATTTATTATGCTGAATTTAAAGCAAGTTTGGATGCAAACATTCTATCCACCTGAATCTTATGGAATGTTAAGTGTGCTACTCTTAAAACCTGGTTTCTAGTTATTGGGTATTGAGTTAGCACTACTTCATCTTCAGAATCTCCAGGAAGTCACAGGTTTCATTTAATAGCTAAGAGTTAACAAATGTCTTATAGTTGGCTATATAAACATGATTTAATAAGGATTTTGCTTTGTCAACTATGTATGAGGCTAAAAAGATCCTATCCCAAGCACATTAGAAACAGACTAAGATGAACTGTTACAAGTTGCTTCACAATCTCATTTGTCTGAGCAGAACACTATTTTCAGGTCAAACTTCCATAGCTAGCTTATCTTTGTAGTCAAGTACAGATAGAAGATTCTCAAACATAATTTTTGTTCCTACAATATCATCTTCAACTGATATTATCTAGTTAACAATTGTACAGGAATGTAAAGAACACTTACCTTGCTACTCCATACATATATAGGAAAGTTTATAAACTGGGAATATTTCTTGACCAAGTTTTTAATTGTATCCAGCTCAAGATAATCTGAAGCTTCTTCTTTCAGAACAAGGCTGAAAAACAGAATAAGCCATTCATTAGTTCAAACCAAGTACCTACATTAAATTAGCATTTCAGTTGAACGCAGGACTGTTATCATATACCCTCCTTAGCTTTTGAACTAAAGTTTCAAAACTGAAATATTAATAAAAGTTATTACGGATGCAAGTTCTCACTACCCTGGATACAACTAGTAAATGCCAAATGTTGACAGCACAGTCTGTGTACTTCAAACAGAGGAAACCTTAATGTTTCAAGGACTATGTATTCTGTTTTTTAAAAGCATTTTTGCCTGTTATTAGTAGTACTAGTTTCCCTAATTTGAGAGATAGCAATTGCACATTTGCTATCTCTAGCATTTCCTAGAAGAGAATAATTTAGTCCTACAACTGGTGCTTCCCTCTACCTCTCAATGCAAACATACGTTATGCCAAAGACAGGGAGTCAATGTAAATGACAAGTTGTTCCTTGATGTCACACAGGCTATTATTCTAAATCAAGTTTTATATTGATACACTATGGATTTTCTAACCATGGTGTAAATCTGACCACTAAACAGAGTAACTTTTACATTCTATGAAGGAAATGCTTTTGTATATTTTTATAGTTTTAGATAATGTGGCCTCAGGATAGTAAAAATAAAGTAAAAATAAAGAATGCACTCCTTAATAGAAAGTTTTTCTTGATCTAAATAATGCAGGTAACAAATTTTACAATATGGTCTAAAAGATTTTAAAATATCTTTTTATGCAACCTGCTATTACAAGTATACCCTATTTACACCAGAGACCAGACAAAGGATGTTTTCTGAGAAAGTCACGCATAGAACACCTTTACCCAGACTAATGGCATCCATTACTTAGTAAGTGATTCACCTTACTTTTAATAACAGCCACTTTCTACAGAGCTAAAACAGTGCAGAATTTGTCACTTGCTAACATAGGAATCAGAAAGTAGGAATTTGAAATCTTTCCATTTTCCAATGTGGAATAGGTGCAGTGCAATCTTATTTAAGGTAAAATAGTAGATACACATCCAGAAATACTACAGGAGCAGCAGCAAGATTTTTAATCCTAATCATGGGCACTGGAAGTATCAAAAACCTTGGACAGGAGCATCTGTCTTATTTGCAGGCTTTGAAATTATCTGAGAGGTCTAACTCAGTATTCAGAAGCTTTCATTAATGAGTAACATTCAAACATTTGCAATACTTACGTTATAGTAGTGCCTCGTCCCAAGGTGTTTCCTCGAGGATCGTCTATTACTGAGAACTCATTTGAGTTAGATTCCCAGATGTGTTGAGTGTCATTGTTGTGTTTTGATGTCACAATAACTCTATCTGCCACCAGGAAGGCGGAGTAGAACCCAACACCAAATTGACCAATCAACTCGGAAGTTGACTGGTTCTCTTCATTCATCTCAGTTATTTTGTTTAAAAATTCGCTCGTACCAGATTTGGCAATTGTCCCCAAGTTTTTGATTAGCTCTTCTTTGGTCATACCAATGCCAGTGTCTGTAACATGAAGCATATTCTTCTCTTTATCACACTGCAAAAACAGAAACAGAATTCCTGTCTTTTATCAATACAACTCATAACTGCGAAAACATCCATGTAAACATTAGCTTGCAAGCAATTCTAGTGCAAGGGAAAACCTTTAACTAATCTGTTTAGTGAAATTACTTCTTACATGCCGTGAAAGAAGCACCACCTAATTTATAGATTCATATTCTTCCTTTTAAAAAGTCATGAAGTATTCAACAAAATTTTGTAATTTAGTTTTGTAACAATAAAATAAAAATACATGATACAAGAACTGTCCAAGATTGCAGTTAAGAAAAAGAGAAGTGGAATCTTACCTTAATTTTTATTGTGAGTTCTTCATTACCCGAAAGAGCATTTTCATCAGTTAATGATATCAGTCGTATTTTATCCAGAGCATCAGATGCATTTGAAATCAATTCTCTCAGGAAAATCTAGAGTAAAATTTTTTAAAAAGTTACTGTATGCATATACAAATGTATGTATCAGTGCTGACCTGCAATTAATACATAACTTACCTCTTTATTTTTGTAAAGAGAGTTGATAATAAGCTTCATCATTCTATTTACTTCAGCCTGAAATGCAAATTTTTCTGACTTCTCTCTAATCTGCTTTATCTGAGATGCATTTAAGCCATCCAATTGAATAGATTCCTCTTCCCTGTGGAGAAAGAGTACCAGATTCAACATACTGTAAATCACTCAATAACCAAAGTTGTGATAATGTATTGAGTTAATTTCTAAATACCAGTAGATCAAGTTTTTGTTCTCCTAGCACGAACATTTCTTGCTGAAACTGGATGCACCCTGTCTAAAATCCAAGGCTTCAGAGGCAATGCAACTTCCCTTATAATAGCCATTCCCAACCATGTGGCTTCTGGACACCCATAACCCAGAATTCCCCAGCAGTGGCCCTGCTGGGTGGGAATTCTGGGAGCTGTGGTCCAAATATCTAAGGCCACCAGGTTGGGGAAGGCTGCCTTATAGATTTCACTGGTAATGAAACATGCCAGATTTCAGGGTAGTCTGGAAGCACCTTAACTACTTGACAGTGAAGTGCAACTGCCTGGTTTAGAGAAACAAAAGTAACTTCTGATCTTCCTAAAGAATTTCCCTTATTCTGTGCTGTGTTTTCAGATTTTCTGGCAATCAGGAAACCTTGGATTAGAAATTTATTAAGTTTCACAAGTACAGCTTGGAGGTTTACAAAATTGCTAAAATAGCTACCTACAGTAGTCAGAACATCCTCATTCACATTTTCCAGGATGCTATAGGATTTATCAAAATAAAACAGAGCTATCTGTCATAGTCTATAAATACCACGTTACAAGGCATTATCAGCAATTGCTAAAGAAAAAGTGGCAGAGAAAACTAATCTTCCCTATCAGCAGCAGAATGTAGCCATCAACAAGCTAATCCCCCTGGCTGCTAGGCCAGGATGAGATCCATTGTTGTGCAAGTATTAAGTAAGAAGTAGAGGCAATTCCCTTATATTGTCAGTTGTTCTTCAATCATAAAACCAGGCTGCCCCATGACAACCAACCTTTTCCATGGCTGTTTCTAGTACTGCAAAAAGAACACTTGACAGATCCTTGTCTTCATTATATTTTTACTTTGCCTCCCCCCACCCCTTTACAAAGCACTAAAGGTGGCTTATCTAATCCTCCTCCTCTCAATCTGACCCTTTCAACACCACCCTCTGAGGTAGGTTGAGTTGGGACTCTGACTGGTCCACATATCATCAGTGAAAATTCAGAACCCAATGAGGTCTAGAACCCAGATCTCTTGAGTCCTGGTCCTGCACTCTTAGTCAGCATACTACAATGATGCCAATTTTAACCACTATCAATTTTTTCAATAATTCCAATGGGCATCTGATGGCTGTCTGATTACTCATCCTCTTGAAATCTCCAGGTTGAAAACACCAATACAACTATACCAGATAAACCCTTGCTTCCCACACTTCATGCAATCACAATAACCACTGCCACCAAGTTATTATAAAATAAGCATGCATCACCTCCTGGAAACCAGCCTTCTTTAAAAAGTAGTCAACAAGCATACTATTCTAACACTTTTATTAAATATGCAATACAAACACTAACATTCTCTATTAGATGAGAGTCTAGAATGCTTTGTACAAATTACATCATAAAAGTTTGAACTGAGGTAAAGTTTTTCTGGCTTTGTAGATAAATAACCAACATTCTACTGAGCAAACTGAGCATCATTACAATAACACCATAATTCACAAGCATATCAATAAGAAATCTAATTAATTATATGTTTAAAGCAAATTACTAAACTTATGCCTCCAATGAGAAGTAGTCAGGGTTGCACTACATCTAATTTAGGTCAGTTTGAAAAAGATGTATTCAGAGTGAACATTTTCACCAGCTTTACAAAGATATTCCCAAAACAAACCTCTGAACAACTTCATCATCTGTTCGAGATCCTTCCCTGCTTTTACCAATGTCATCTTCCACAGTACCATCCACATCAAGCTCATCAGCCCGGACTGAGGCTGTAAAACAGAAAATTTAGGGTCAAGTTAGTACCAAGACAGTACCTTACAGCAAAGCAACTGATCCATATACACCTGAATAATATAGTTAGATAATAGTTGAGGATGAAAGGTCTTTTCAAACAAAAAATGGGGCCCACTGAGTGTTGCACTCTGGCTACACACTATTACAGTCAGAGGTGGAAAACTTAGCTGGCTCTGCTGTGCCACTTTTGTGGTCTCTCTCCCAATTAAGGCCGATATAGTCTATACAGGGACAGATTTGAATTACATCAATGCAAAGTATATTTTAGGCCACACCCCATCATGGAAAGAACTTGGGTCAAAAGAGCCAAGTGAATGGGACATAACTGAGGGGTAGCTAAAAAGTTCAGTTTTCAAGCACGTGCTAAAAAGAGGCTACAGCACAAATAGAAAGCAAATTGGTATTCCCAAGAGGAGATGATGAAGTCATCCATTTCCTTGGCACTCCTGGCTTTACATGGTTAAGCAGGGAAACACTGACAAACGTGAATCCTTAAGTTACAAAAGGGTTGCTGCACTTAGCTGGCCTAATCTCTTTTAGAACCAACATGTCCGTTAGATACCTTTACTGCAGGAATCCACTACTGCTTATATACTCTGCATTAAACTTTGCTCTCATCTTGATAAAGACAGCAATGAAAACCTTGCCACCTCCTTGAGATCTAATAAAGTTTTGACACATGCCCTAAACAGAATTCCATCCCGCACAGAGAATAACAGGCCCTTTATTTCAATGCTCTTTCCCGAAGTCATCCATTCGTCCGAGCCCTGGTGACGAAGGCTCACCTATTCTCCCCCACAACTCAGACCGGCTGCACATACGCTTTTGGACTAAGGTTTACTTAGAAATAAAACCGAATCAGCCCACTGGTTCTTACACTCGAGTTTATAAGGCACAAGGCAAAAGGCCTAACTCAACCTTTAAAAGTACGATCCCAAACAGGTTTTACTCTAAGACACGCAAGTATCGCCGAGGTTTATTCAGTCGATTGTTCGTGCTACCGCCTTTCAGCGCACCCCTACTCACTTTTAATTCCTCCATCCCACCCATTTTCACTCTCTACCTTAAGAAAATAAGGAATGCCTCCCCCCCACACCACCACCGAGAAAAACCAACACGCCGCCAGAAGAACGCAAAAGGACACTGAGCAGTTGACATGAGGTAATACTTGACAAGGTACCACAATTAAAAGCGGAACCCCCTTCAACCGCCACCCGCGGAACGTTCCAGAAACCCCCTCCCCCACCTACGCTCACCGGCCAGGAGGAGTAGGCAGAAAAGGCCGAGTCCCCACAACGACTTCATCTCGGCGGCGCCAGGAACGGAGTGAGGTGAGGACTACGCTGGACAGCACTAGCCTCCCACGCGCGGCCAAGTGCACGGACCGGAGACCAGGAGCCGTCGTAAAAACCCTGCCCTCTCGGAGCAAAGCCTCACACACGCCTCAATGGCGAAAGCCACTAACCGAAGCCAGCCCGCCCCCCAAAGCTTATCACCAGGAAAAGCCGTGGGGTGGGGGAAAGGAGCTCTCGGAGGCGCCAATCACACCGCACCACGCCAAAAACGGGGCCAATAGGAAACTTACGGGGGAGGGGCGGAGCTTTCTTTTCACCAATCAGCGCCTTCCAGGTGAGATTTCCCGGCGCCGGAGCGTGGCTAGGCTCGATTGGTTGTTGCTATGTTAATGGCCCAATCAGTGGCAAGGGCGGGAGTACTAGGCCTTGGTGTAGGTTTGTTCTCTAAATCATAATTTACTTAGTTAAATGAGCGTCCAAGGTCTCCCAAGATCTAAATGCGAGACTGACTTTTTAAAAACTGTGCACATACATATTTAAGTCCTCGACGATTACTTCCGGGCTAGTAAGGACGCAATTATACGTCTCTATGACAACCTTCGCTCCCACTATTGTGCAAGCGAAAGCAAAGAGTAGAAGATAATGAGAATTAGCGAAATCATTCTACAACACAAGCTTTCTGTTGAGTAACATATAGGTGTGACGACCTGCAGCACCCATATTTGAAGAATTCTTTTGAAGAAAGTCTGTAAAATCCTTTCCAACTTCCACGTTTCACAGGCCCATCCGGCATTGGTGCCTTCCGTGCTGACGTCAACACTGCTCTACACGCTGGAAAGCGCCTTCTGTTGCATGATGGGAGTTGTAGTTCTTGAACGGAAAAAGCCATTCAGAGTTTCAAGGCGACACAGAGTGTTGTCTGTCACCAAAAGGGTGGACTTTAAAACATGCGCATATGCAAACATATGACTTGTGCTGCACGAAATCACTGAAAAGAGCTGGCGTTTCAGGAACAATAACGTGTCAGTGGTTGCTAATCGGAAAACATAGCAAAAGTCCTGTTGGTTCTGTTTTAAATACATCACTGCAGATTCGGAACATTAATAGCATCCTTGGCATTAGAGGAAAATGAGGAATATAGGTACGTATTATTTGGATATTTCTGACCGTACAGTTCCAAAAATCCAGGCAACCTTTTCCACTGGTTCTATGTACAGGGTGTCCATAAAGTCCGTGTGCAATTTAAAATACCTGTAACTTTGTAACTACATGTGATAGAAACACTCTGTAAAAAGGATTAGAAAGCTTGATGTATCAAGTTTTTTTATCTTTAGAAATTTTATTCAGCATTTGTTTTACACAATATGTTTAACAATTGCTTGAAATTTAAAAATTCCTTATTTTTCAGAATTACTGTTTACCCATGGCTTCACTAGAAGATAAAGTAAACTGTGTTTTTTGGTTGGCCATACTAAAATCTACCTCTGCTGTCCAAAGAAGGTTTAGAACCCAGTACAAGAAAGAAGCACCATACAGGAATTCCATATCCAAGTGGATGAAAAAATTTAAAGAAACAGGTTCTGTCAATGATAAGCCAAGGTCTGGTAGGCCATGTGTTTGACTCCATTAGATTTCTTTTTATGGGGACATGTGAAAACCAATGTTTATTCAACCAAATCTCAATCTGTAGAAGACTTGCAAGCTAGGATAACTGATGTGATTGCTGGCATTACTGAAAATCAGCTTGAAAATGTTTTCTGAGAACTACAGAATCATATTAACCTTTGTATTAATTATGATGGTGGACATGTTGGAAATTAACAAGAACAATAAAAATTCAAGTATTTCTTATTTCTTTTGCTTTTTACAGATTGTTTCTATTACATGTAGTTACAAAGTTACAGGTATTTTATATTGCACACGGATTTTATGGACACCCTCTATATAACATGAAAAACAAAACCCTTCAAGAACAATGGAAACAAGCATTCCCTAATATTTATTTCATTATTCAGTATGTATAAAAAACATCTGTTAGCATAATACTCTCTGAAACCAATCCCCTAGAAAGCACTGACACCACCACAAAAAAGGAGCTCTGGAGCCCAGCCCTGGCAGGCAGTCCTGAATATTACCAATATTATCATAATCATCATGTTAGATTATGATGATTACACCTGAATGCAGCAATGGGCAAATTAGTTATTGGGCAGACATGTTGCCAGCTTGCTACTGAAATATGCAGGGGCAACAGAAGCTCTTTAGAGCTTAATATCATAAAATATAATAACTATGGGACATGCCCCTCCCCCTGCTTAGCTGATATTGATATTGAAAGATGCCTGTATTTATCATAAAAACATGTATACAGCTGCTATGTCCATATTTGCCTCTTCTTTCAAAAGTCTGCTTAGTAACCCTCAGAGCCTCATGTTCATTTTTTAGCCATATTAGATACCTCTTAATGGTAGGAAATATCTATTACACTGGAAAACATCTCACATGAGGGAATCTGATAAAGTGTATGAGCGAAAGGAAATACAAACAATCTGATCCTGAACCACGGTGTTTTATGGCAGTGACACAGTGGCAGTCATTTCTAGAGTAAACTAGTCAAAATTAATGGAACTAAAGTTAAACTAACATTGGAGACTACCCAATATACACAAGTGTGCCCTTAGTTATGGTAGAACATGCTGGCATTTAGTCTACTAAGTACTTGTTAATTTATGTAGATTAGATTATTTTCCTTTTGCTGTTCCATTTCACGCACAATAGTATGTATCAAGAACTGATAAGACCAATAAAAGCCTTTGATGTTGTATTCAGATGGAATTTAACAAATAGTTTTTCTCCACCACAATTAACCTGCATGCGTTCCACAGATCATAGAACATTAGTGTCATTTTGTTCTCAGAATTCACAGTGGAACATAGCTGAGGAGACTATATGTGTGTTCCTGCTTCATATACATGGATAGTTTGCCATCCAGAAACTGGTTACCTAAATTGTCTCTCTCATGAATTAATTTTGATCTTCTTGTGGTATGTATCATTTTCTGTAATTTTCCTCCTTTGGGCCTTTGTGAAATTGTAACATAAATCAAAAGTGAGACCTTTTATACTATTTTATGAACATACTGGAGCAACAGAAATGATGGATAACTAGTAACCTCAACCTTAGTAACCTCAACCTTTTATAACCTTACTCTTTTTGTTTCAGTCACTTGGAGCACATTCTTATGCAAGTTTAGAGAGAAAAGAATCCTACAGCTCCCAGCTTAACTGGTGGGGCATGTTGAAGGACTTTTTTCTGTTTATACTTATGTAAGATTGAACCCTTAACATGTTTTTCCATTTGTAGAACCATTTATACCATTGTCTTCAAATGTTGGCTTCCAAATGTACAAATATCTCAGAGCCAAAAGTAAATTCCGGTTTTGAAAAAGCTGAATATTTATGCAAATAAAGACTATGTGCACAGGGCACAGCTTCTAGACACATTTATGTGGGAATAAGTCTTATTAACTTCATTTGGACTTTCTTCTAAGTAGATAATGGATGCAATTGTCTTAAAAGAACCCAGTTCTTTTCCAAAGGAGATTTCCTTGTTATTTGGAATTGTGGAAGAACAAAACTGTGCCTAGCAAACATGTAATATAAAAAGTTCTAAGACAACCTTTTGACATACCTAACATGAAGATCTGTCTAGAAGCTAATACAGAAACTGTGTTGTACATTTTTGTCCCATTCTGTGGTTACCTGAGAGGGAGCTAATATCATTGAACTGGGCCAGAGCTGAGCAAGGAGTTCCAATCTACATAGAACACTTGGGGCAACCCAGATGAGGGTGTATTAGACAAATGAAGTCAAACCAAGGTAGATGCCTCTGGCACAGTAAGTAAACAAAGTAAAAGCTAACAGGCCCAGAATCACTCTAAGTAAGCTTTCCTACCTAATGCTTTCTCCTACCAGAAATACAGGCTAGAATTCATCTTATGTAGGCATCTACACTCTGTAGTGTGGTTAGCTCCATCTGCTCTGTTGAAAGAGTCCTCAGTTGATTATATTGTCTATACCACCCTTCCCCAACCTGGTGGCCTTCAGATGCATTTGGACCACAGCTCTCAGGATTCCCATCCAGCAGGGCCATTGACTGGGAATTCTGGATGTTGCAGTCCAAATGTGTCTGGAAGGCACAAGGTTGGGGAAGGCTGGTCTACATTTCTGTGAGGCTGGGCAGATGGAGGTTCTGCTGGGCATTTCTCCTGTTGCTTAGCAGACAATATCAGGTCCATGTCTTTGGGACAAGAGGACCCCTGCATGCAGGACTAACTGTCTGTTCTTGGAAAAAGCAGTCAGATCCTTCCCTTAATCATAGTCTTCTCCTGAGCTTTAGAAGGCTTAACACTGAGAGCTAATAGCCATGGTTATTATAGGAATATTCCACTAGCTCTGAAGTGTTTGCTAGATTACAGTGTACCCCAGTGGAATACAACTGGGAGGATTCCGCCACCCCCCTTTATACTGAGTGATCTCTTATTAAATTGAGGAAACATGGAACAAATACTAATACAGTCCTTAATACCAAAGGGGCTTATTTTGCAATCTATTTGAATACTGCATCTGAAAAAGCTGAGGTCATAAATCATTGTATCTATTATTTCAGTGTTTACCCCAAGTTTCTTACAAAAGATAGAAATAATGACAACAGTGCACACTATAAAAAATCAGCAAACAGAAAATAGCCAATATAGTCTGAAAATAGCAGCAGGGATTTAAAAGTGTCACCTGCTTCTCAGGAAATATTCATAGGATTTTGCTGCCACTCTCTGGTAATTACTAGCTGTCACAGAAGGGTGAAACAAATAGAAGTATGTTCTGCTGCCATCAGCAGTTACCTAATGAGGGCCATGGCAGATGCCTGTTTCAGATACAATGATATTATTAAATCAGGAGACTTCATACAAGAGATTTAATATATGATAAGCCTAAATTATCACCAAATGGGGAGGACACATTTGGAATTCTGAGTGCCATGGGTGCCGTTTTGGTACTGTCCATGGGGTTTTCATGGCAAGGATACTGGAGTGGGTTGCTATTTTTCCTTCTCCAGTGGCAAGATTACACAGAAGAACTATACAAGAAAGAGCTTGATGTCCCTGATAACCATGATGGGGTGG